CCAATGAGGTATAACGCGCCTCAATTGGAGTTTTATAACTCCGGATATGCTCGTTGTATTTTCATGACCAGAAAATTCTCCAATGACGGTGGAACTATAGGAAATTTGATGACAATTCATAAATCCCAAGACAAAGAAATATTTTCGTGACCAGAAATTTCTCCAAAAATAATTTAAATAAACTAGACATCTAGGGCTTCAATTTGACATAAGGTACGCCTTGTTTCGATGAGAAACGAAGGATATACACTCGTCGCAAGTTAGACGTACAAAACTGCCAACTCACAGCGCACGGGTCACCAAACATCTCTCGCAATTTTTAAATTGCATTCATTCTACTTATCCAATTGCTCTCAAATTTTATACAGTGTATAGACATCTATACCTTCAATTTGATATATCGTAAGCTTAATTTGAGTAAGAATTAAGGGAGATATGAATTTTTACAAAAACATAGATAAAAGTGGCCTCTTACAGCGCGGAACAGGGCATTCTATTCTGCCTTCAAACAAAAACTGGGCAGTTTATATAACTCTAAATGACACCGAATTTTATGAAAGTATAGTTAACATCCTAATTTTGAAGATGAGGTATGTTGCGCCTTAATTGGCCAAGTGTGGAGGGAGATATGGTCTCTCAAAGTTAGATATAAAACTGGCTATTTACTTAGAAATTTTGATGACATCTTCTTTGTTTTATTAACTAATATCATACAACAATTTAGATCATTACTTAATATCCAAGGTAATATTCATAGTTGCTTAAATTACAGTCATTATCCATTTCAAACACTTTATCCAATATTGTATGCATTCTGTAACGCCTGGCCGCTCAGGACGTCACCTATCCCAAAATTGCTCCAAGTCAAGCACACTTAACTATGAAGTTCTTCCGTTATGGGCTATCGAAAAATAGATGCATCTTGTTAGTATAGATAGTACCGATTAATTATTATATGCTATCCTCAACTATACAGTCTAATACTTGCACAATATTTGGAATCTCTTTCTTTCGAGTGTCGATTCGATTCATTCATGTACCCATGCTGGAAGCCTGGGTCAATAACTATCCCCACACACTAACACGAGACTTTTCAGCGTACTTTATCCTCACTCACACACTTCTTGGAAAAACTTTTCAGGAGGCCACTGTTGCTACTCATGGCAAGTGCACCGATCGTACAAGTAATATAATGATTAAGTAAGAGATCGTTCCCACGAGGATTACGGTTCAAGCACCAATTCACTATTGCAACTTAAGTTGGACAATCAAAGTTGTATTTGAAACAGGATTTGAATTTTCGAATTTAAAATATTAAATGCAAGAATTAAAATAAAAATTTAAAGATGTGATTTACTCTAATGAATCAAGAATAAAAGCAAGAAATTAAAGATGGGATTAACTAATTTAAAATAACATAGCTAGGGGTTCGACTTCCTTTAATCTCTTTATTATGTTTGAATTCCTTCTTAATGTTAATCGTCCTTAGTATCAATCTAATCAATTCTTTCGCATGTAATTAGGGATCAATCCCTTATTACCTTAAACCTTCACGATCTTGGAAGAACCCTAGTTCCCCGGTTATTCCCCAAGAACATAAGCATTAAGTTCAAGAATCTTAAAGATTACGCAAACCCTATGTCTATCCCTAGAATCATAATGTTTACGATGAAGTTATCAGATATGGATCACACACCAACATCCCTATTGTCATGCATTTACCGATGATTATTATATAAGATTCAAGCATATATAAAGCATTAAAAACAGATAACTTCATTCATTACATAAAGGAAAATTAACAGACGAATTGTTCAAAGCATAATAAATCGACTAAAATCCATCTAACCCTAACTACTTAAAGAACTAGCCAGACATATCAAAATCAAGAACAAAAGACAATATAAAAGCTCCCCCAAACTCCATAGATGATTGGTGAATCTTCAATATCTCCAGTGCAGACTTGATTCCGATCTGTCTCCGCTGCTCATGAACATGAACTGGATGTTTCTCTGCCTTCCCTCTGCCTCCAAGCACCAAAGACTCTCTTAGAATATGAAAAGTTAATTAATTCTGGTCCCCAATGGTGCTTTTATTGGCCAAGAGTTCGTATCCTAGTGGAATACTTGGATGGGCCTAAGTTGGATCTTTCGGGGCACTTAAGCCCCCTAGGACGGTGATGGCAAAGTTCGCGTTGCACGCTTAAGCGCGCTCCTCGACTTGAAGCTTTCTTCTGGCAGCACGCTTAAGCCCTGAGTTGGGGGCTTAAGCGCCCTGAGGCAGTGGCAAATGCGTTTTTAGGGAGCTTAAGCTTCGAAATGGGGGCTTAAGCTCCCTCTGCTAACAACTTGATAAGATCTTCAATCTTCTTGTTTCCACCTTGATCCATCATCTTTTATGATTTGATTTCCCTGTATCCAAATTCTTCATATTTGAATCTCTTTATGATCAAATCCCTTAAAAATAGCAAATATTATTTAATCAAGTAACAATCAGATAATGTTCATGATTATCCGATTAAAACCCTAGTTTTTGACTTGTTCAATTAGATAATTCATATTATTTTAGTCCATAAAACAAGATAAACTAAAGGTTTATCAACAATTCCCAGATTTGAACATTGTTGTCCTCAGCAATTAAACAGAATAAAACTATGGGAAAGTTTGGAGACGGCTAGTCATGCTCTATGTAGCACCGATACTGACATAGGACACGTGACACGACACGACACTCCGACAAGTTAATTTTAAAAAATGTTAGATTTTGACACGTTAGGACACGTTTTGATATTAAATAATATTTTTAATTTATGTAGTATATATTATATTTAATATTCAATAATTTAACAAAAAATGATACTAAACTTATAATATTCATCAATTTTGCAAAGAAACATAATATATCCCAAATATTTATATTAAACTCAATAAAATGGTAATTATAATCCAACGAATCTAATAGTTGAAACTAAAAATTCAATGCCACGCAACCTTTGAACTTTTTTTTGAATTTCTATAATGCGTGTCGGAGTGTCGGGGAGTGTCAGAGTGTCGGGAAGTGTCGGACACGACACGTCAGAGTTTTTGAAGTGTCGGTGCTTCATAGGTCATGCTTAATGAATAACAGACAAGAAACTGACCAATAATGAGAACTCAGAGCATTCAGATCTGATAAAAGTTAATGACACATCAAACTCAAGTAAACATTCACAACTCACTAGTCATAGAATCATAACATGAGTTCTCAAAATAAAGAGTAGTACAATTCAATTTCACAACACCCTCTCATTGGGATTTTCATTTATTCACTCACATTCAATGTCTGAGGGTATGTGTTTCACTCTTACTTCACTGCATTAACACTACCATAGGCTTGTTTATATTCTCACTCTCCATAGTCTAATTGGTATACTAGGTTAATCAAGAGGTCTTTGTTAAGGTTGTAACGTGGCTTAGGTAAAAGGAAAGGAATTATTTGGATAAGTGGCTTAAGATTACTGATCAAAATTCAATTTCAAAGAGGAATTTATATATGATTGTTCAACGTACAGTAAACAGATTTCCCTTATTTTCCTTTCTCCTCTTTTCTTCTTCCACTTATTCATATAATATGAATCTTTTTTTTTGGAGTTACCCAACCCTAATTATCTCTTTGAGACGAGTTGGATCCCTCCGGTATCCCCCACGAGCTTCGACTCTTTGAGCCGGCTATGGGACTAATCCGGAGTGCGGGGGAACAGTGATGGCTAAAGGTTCAGCCCCCTCCCCAAGAATGATAATATGAATCTTTTATTTCTTTTCCTTTTTCCTTTTGTTTTTCTTTTTCTGTTTTTGTACAGATACACATTTCAACCTTTTTCTTTGCTTTTCTTTTCCATCACTTTTTGGCTTTTCCTCTTTTCACCTTTTCTTCCACACACTAGAGTTTGAATTTCTTTCTTTTTGTTTCAATCATATCTAGTCCCTCATTTAAATTTGAAATTTAATCAGTTCAGGTGAGGATGTATATGGAGTGGTTATTCATAATATGTGATTAATGAATAAATAGGCCTAGGCTCAAGGGGCTTCAACTAAGGATAAAAATCTGGGTGGCTATTTGGCTATCTAGCTTTTAGAAAGAACTGCCTCTATCATTTCAACAATTGTATACTACAGACCATTTCAAAAAGAAACAAAACAAGTTCTAGAGGGTTTCATACAGTGAAGTTCACACCACAAAAAAAAATTCTGTTTTGGCTCAGTAGCTCACGGCTAAGGGTGTGATACTTATTTTTCCACTCTCTATCTGATCACTTTAGTTATTTTTCTCTTATTCCAGTGAATTATGAAGCATGCTTGACTGACGCTCATTTATGTGTGAAAATAAATTTACATCATTATACTCTTAATTTCAGTAATCAATCAATTTACTGTAATTATTCACTATGCATATACATCAAGCACAATGGAACTTAAAAACAAAGAATTTCACCATTTAAAAATTTCACTAACATTTAGTGACTAAAGATGGGTGGGGTATTTAAAAACTAAATTTAAAATTTAAAATTTTTAAAGTAAACTAATATAATTAAAATCTAATTTAAACTAATACGAATTTAAAATAACATAAATAAAAGGAATAAGATAATATGAAATATAATAATATTGAGAAATCTCCCCTGAATCATTGCATATGCATGTTGGAAAATTTATGGGTAATCATGAATTCTTTCCTTCCGACCATGTGAGGATTGTGGTCTGATGAATTACGTGGTACCCATTCCCAGATTTAAATCTTGTTGTCCTCAGCAATTAATTTAAATCTAAAAGACTCCAAAGCAAGAAATCAGAAAGATTTGACACTGTATTCTGCACACATGTCAGAGAATGAACTATGTCAGCATGTCATGTCCAACAAAAATCATAACCAGGATTAGTCTCAACATACATCTCATACTACCATCAACTAGCATCAACAAAATAAACGAAATAAAATATAAGAGTCTAAAACTGATATGGGGTTCAATCCTCCTTCATATCAGTGGTGGGTGTATCATTCTCCTCTGCTGCATCCTGATCATTACCAGTTGTGGCATCTGCAGCAACAACATCATCATCAGCATAATATATATCAGCAACATCATGTGTAGTGTCTGCAATCATATCAACATTCGAGTATCTAGCATGTTTGTAAAGTTAGTACAATTTCCACAAAACAATTCCCAGATTTATATTCAGATGCATCTGAAAATAATAATGAGTATATGGAACCGAAATACTTTAACAACATGCATAATGTCAATGATGAGCGCGCTTAAGCGCTCTGAGGTAGTGAGGAATGGGATAAAATTTTATTTAGCGCGCTTAAGCTTCCCTCTGGGGGCTTGAGTGTGCCCTGGGAATGAAGATTTCTAAATGTGGAGCGCGCTTAAGTGCGATCTAGCGCGCTTAAGCGCGCTCAGGCAGAGGGGAATTGTATTTTCGGGGCTTAAGCCTCCTTTAGGGAGCTTAAGCTCTCTATATTTAGAAAAAAATTATGATTTCTTTGCATTCTTCTCCTTAAGTATTCCCTAACCTCAATGATTCCATTAAACATTATACACAAAACATATAAATCAATAAGAATTGCGTACTTGTTCATGCTTCATTCCCATACATACCTGAAAATCCATCTCAGAAAAATTGATCATGAGCCTCAATGTTTTTATTTTTATTTTTATGTGAATTAACACTAAAATAAATTAAAATTAAAACTAAATTAAAAAAACTGAGAACTAAACTAAACTACTAAAATAAAATACTGAAACTTAAAATACTGAAAGTTAAAAATTATTGGGTTGCCTCCCACTAGCGCTTGTTTTACGTCACGAGCCTGACGTACCTGACTTGTGATCATGGTGGCTCAAAGCATGAGCTTAGTGATGACCAAGCTCCATCATTCAGAAATTATGTCCTCCCATAGTACTCTTGTGCATATGAGTGAGATACAGTAGGCTCAATAACTTTGAATTTGGATTTACATGCTTTCCTTTGCTCCTGAGCTTTTCCATTTTAACCTTTGGATTACCTTCTTGAGGAGAATTCTCTTTGTGCTCTTCTTCTCCTTTCTTTTCAGTAATATAGTAGACTTGATTTTCCGAATGAGTTATAGGTGAGGGGATTTTTTTGTCAAAGAATTTGAAAATTGCTTGCTCCCCGTCTACCCGTAAGATCAACTCGTCCTTCGGTACATCAATCAGCGCTCCTGAGGTTGCCAAGAAAGGTCTTCCGAAGATCATAGGAATAGTAGAATTTCCCTCTATATCAAGGATGACAAAATCAACAAGAATGATGAATTTGTCAACCTTTACCAGTATGTCCTCAATGATTCCATAAGCTTGTTTTGTAGAGCGGTCAACCAGTTGAACTATTATCTTGGTTGGCCTTACTTCAGGGATCCCCAGTTTCTTCATCATAAATAGTGGTATCACGTTGATGCTGGCACCGAGATCACATAGAACATTTTTCACTTCCATATTGCCTATGTTACATGGAATGCTGAATCTTCCTGGATCTTTAAGCTTTGGAGGCAACTTTTTTTGGATAATGGCACTGTATTCCTCTGTCAGAGTCACCGTCTCACATTCTTGTAGCTTACGCTTTCGTGATAGAAGATCTTTCATGAACTTTGCGTAATTGGGCATGTTCTCCAAGGCTTCAGTAAACGGGATATTGATTTGCAGCTTCGTGAAAATGTCAAGGAACTTGGAATACTGCTGCTTTTTGATTTCCTCTCTGAACCTCTGCGGATATGGAATCTTTGCATAAGGTGAGAGCTCCAATGGATTTTCTTGCCTTTCTTGAGCTTTATTTTTCTCCCATTTGAAACTCTTTCTTTTCAGGAACAGTTTTCTCTGCAGCAGATTCTTTGGCAACTTTCTTTTCTTTTTCCTTTTCAGTCGCAAGTTCATCATCTTTCTTTTTCTCAACTGAAGGCCTTACCACAGGTTCAATGGCTTTCTCGCTCATAGTAGTAATCGCATTGCAGTGTTCCCTTCTTGGATTTGGAATGGTGTCACCTGGAAAAGTACCTTGAGCCCTCTCAGAAATTTGCTTGGATAATTGCCCGATCTGAGTTTCAAGATTTCTGATTGATGCTTCTTGATTTCTCATTGCAGTTCGGGTTTCTTGCATGAAGAAAGTTGTCTCATTTCTGAAAGTTTCTGAACCTTTGATGTAATCATTTGTTGTACTTGAGAGTTCCTTCAATGCTTTTTCCAACTCAGAAGGATTACTTTGCGAAGGTTATGACTGTGGTGGAATCGGTGGGTTGAGCTGGTGCTGAGTGGAGTTGTAATTGAATCCAGGGTGATTTTTCCACCTTGGATTATATGTATCACCATATGGACTGCTTTGATTCTTCTGTAAGTTTCCTGATTTTCTCTGATCATTCCAGATTCCATTCACTGATGCTGCTTCAGTTCCTCCAAGACACAATTGGTGTTCTCATGCTTTCCTCCACAAAAGTCACAAACTGGTGGAGGTGGCTGTGTTTGGATTGTATATGCTTGAAAATTTTCAAACATTGATGTGAGGGACGTCAATTGTTGAGACATTGTCTTCTATGCAGCCAACATAGCATCATTACTTTCCAACTGATATATCCCTTTCTTTGGGTGTGTCGGAACACTTTCATTCTCTAAAGAAGCCATAGATTCAAATAACTCCAATGCTTGAGTGGGAGTTTTCTGTCTCAATGACCCCATGCTGCGGGATTAATGACCATTCTGGAAGCAGGTGTTATTCCCTTGAAGAATATCCGCACCTTAGGTCCAGGTTGCAATTCAAATTACAAGTGCAATAATAAAATAAAACTTCAGCAAAATGCGTCCAACTTGGCATCAGAAATTGACCAGCTTCCAGTCTGAATTGGGCTTCGAGCTCTTCATAAGAATTGTATCCCTCTGCGTTATCTGAAAACCCAACAAGAACGGAGTCAATCCGACAACTGTGGACAGAGATATGTCCAAAATACAGAAGTAACGTAAAGCTGAAAAATTCTGACGAAAATAAATTAAACCCAATCAAAAACTAAAAATCTAAATTAACTCAAAAAATCATTATTTTATTCAAATAAATCCTAAAATTACTAATCAAAAGTAACAAATAAGTGTAATAAAATACGAGTTATCAATGGGCTATCGAAAAGTAGATACATCTTGTTAGTATAGGTAATACAAATTAATTCTTATAATTTATCCCAACTGTACAATCTCATACCATAAAATATAATACCTCGTTCTAGAACAATTTTGCTATCATTACTTTATGATATTAAGCGCAGTTACAATCACATTGATTCAATTAAGAATACAGATAAATTTTTCTTTTTAAAATGTTGCTCATTTTCTTTATTAACAAGACCGTAATTTAATCTACCAATCTCGTGATTATAACCGTGTGAAGTTGCGGAATAACTAAAATTACGCTTAACATCATTTACTATATTTATTAGACCTAATTAAAGGGTCCCTATTACTTATTTCAAAAGATAATTGCTTTTTCTTAAAACAGGGATTGGGGGCTTAAGCCCCCTTGCTGGGTGCTTAAGCCCCCTCGGGCAGATAATTTTTAAGTTTCTATTCGAAGAGTTAAGCCCCCTGCGGCATAAATTTCTCCATGCACAGGTGCACCAGGGCGCTTAAGCCCCCTTCTTTGGGCGCTTTAGGCTCCATTTTAGATGCTTAAGCCTCCTTCAATGGTTAAATCTTCAAATACTTTCGGTCTCAAGGCGCTTAAGCTTCTTCATGAGGGGGCTTAAGCGCCCTCCACCTGTACAAAACATAAATTCTCCTATTTTCATTTATTTCACTAGGGGAATTAACTCCTCCATTTTCTAACTTCTTGGTACCTAATTGATGAGGGATTACCGACCATGGTCACACACTATGAGGTTCTCACACTCCACATATATTTCATCAATCCATCATACAATTCAAATTGATAAAACATAAATTCACATTCATCAATGTATCAATGTATCAATATCTCAATTATAACTATCCTCTTCAAAATAATTACATGTCAAAGGTCTTAGCTACAAAAAAAAACATGATCAAAGCCATTACCCGTAAACAACATGGCAATTACCATTACAATGATCATGCACTAAGTCCTCTAAAATACATCATATGGCCTCCAAATAAACACATATACACATTATGGTGCAATTGGCCTACACATATAACAATTTTAAATGGCATGCAACTCAAAATGTCCAGCTATCACGTACAATCTACTCATGCTTCTTGCCTCGTTCAACCTCATCTCTATCAGTACCTGAAATGACGTCCCACAATACAGGGTAAGATATACAAATATATCACAGTAAATCAGGGGTCCTTGGAGATCACTACACCCTAAGGTTCACTTCCGGTGTATACATAATCATAACAGCTTAACACATTCTTATCCATAAACATCACATGGACTTCCAAGAGAGATCTAAAAAGGGTAATTTCTCTTAGGTGCTCACCACAAAGAGATCCGCATAGGGATGTTTCCAAGAAAAGTCCACAATCTCACACCAGGGGCTTCTAAGACAGATCCTCAAGGGCTGTTAAGACAGATCCTCAAGGGCTGTTAAGACAGATCCTCAAGGGCTGTTTCTCTTAGGCTCTTACCACATAGAGATCCACATAGGGCTATTTCTAAGGGAAGTCACTACCAATCATCCTCGTCATGATCTAGGCACTTCCAAGAGAGATTCGCAACAGGGCTGTCTCTCTTTGGCTCTCACCACAAGGAGATCCACATAGGGTTGTTTCCAAGGGTAAGACAAACCACCTGAAGATCTTCATAGGGCTGTTTCCAGGGGAAGTCTTTACTGGCGTGATGGCTTCAAGAGGGATCCTTAAGGGCTGTTCCTCTCAGGTAAAAACCACTAGGAGTTCTCCTTAGGGTTGGCTCCAAGGAAGACCACCCCTCCATCATACTAGTTACATTCATTGGACTGATCCAAGGACTATTCAATCATTTCTCATTTATCATTCATTACCTCATCTCTCAACTATCAACATAACCTCAATCTAAATCCTCAACCATTACCACATTCATTATTCTTACATCTATCAACCATTCCTCCAATTACTTGTAAACAATCAAACATCAACCAATAATCATTAAGCAATCATAACATTTATTAATGCAAGAGCATACAATTACTATCATCATTACATATCACACCTCGTAAATCGTTCCTCCTCAACGGAGTATGATGGAACATTCAAGGAAATCAAACTCATGGTCCAAAGGTTTACCTTACACTTGAACTTTTCTCAAAGCTTTCCTTTCCTCAATTGAACACAACCACACGAATTAGTCACTCCACTTGGTCCACTTGCCTCAATCCTAGCCATACAAGGGGCACCATCAAACATACAACCAACCAAGGCTAACAATGCAAGAAAATCCTAAATTTCAAGCATAGATTTCTCTAAATCTCAAAGTATGCTAAAATGACAATCTAAATTCATTTCTACCGTCTATTTATCATTCCTAACAACATTTGTAAAGGGATTTAGCTTCAATTTAACTCAAACTCATAAACTCACAAAATCACTATTTATCATCTTCAACCTATATTCAATCTCCTTGGAAATAACTTTAAAGAGTGAAAACTTACCACAATACCACCACAAGGGTCCAAGGAGGAGGCACTAAGCACAAGATCCTCAAGTGAAGCAATTAAGATTTAAAATCACTAAACAAATATAACTATTACATAATAACTTCAATTGCAATATACAATAATTACATCCTATTGAACTTAGACCAAAATGATGCATGAACATCATCTATGCATAAAACTTGTCAAGTCATGCAATATCCAATGTTCATACCCTAAGTCCAAAATGCTAATTAAATCACAAACATGAATGTCATTGCTTCAAAATAGATATCCAATGTCAAGACCTCACAAAATGCATCCACATGCCAATATACTACAAGATGCCAATATAACCCTATGTGGGCCTCTTGCCCAGGGTCTTTCCTGCCGTATTAGTAGTACCTGAAATGTAAGCCCCGTAAGACAGGGTGAGATTTGACAATCTCAATAAACCAATGGTCTTGGAGGGTCACTCCACCCAATGTCTCACTCAAATGTAAAACAATAACAATACTCATATAACAGAGCATACACCAATCAATCAAAACTGGGCCTGAATCCAAGAATATATCCCCGGGATATAATTCAAGGCACCCATCGTATAACTCTCGATACATTCCTAGTATCGCTCCCAAAACGAAGACAACATTATGGCATCATACCAACTAGAACTCCCTACAGAGGCCTATCCAGTGGAAATCCCCTCAAATCTATCTAATGTCTTGAGATACAGGTATATCAAAACATATATCAAACAATATGTCAAAATGCATGATTATATTATAGCACATACCATTGCAGTTCACAATTCCAACCACTACCCCAATGGTCAGGACGAAGTATACATGGGGATTAACCTCAGGACAAAGGATTTACCTCTTTGCAAACTCTTCCTTGCCAAGCCCTTAATGCCAAGCAAGCAATCTGCAACACAATTTTTACTAAGTCAACTATATAAGGTAATTTTTCCAATTATCATTTGCAATCAACTCAATGATTATTCACAATTGCAAACATATAGAAATTCAAGTCCAATGACTTACCTAATTTTTCACCAAGTAAAGTGTTCAAACTTCCTCCAAAGCTTGATTCAATATCAAGTAATCACTTGACTTCAAGCTACATCATCTCACAATCCAATTAATCAACATAAAACAATTAATCAAAATTACATGAACTCAATACTCATTCATGCACCCATTTTTGCCCATCACCCTATAAGCCATACTATTGATGAATTTCATTATTTTCTATCATCAGTCTTAGATCCTCAACATCCTAAATACCCATAGTTACAATTAATAACAATTCCCACTTTATTTTCATCATTAAGGTCGAGGTATACACATTAATGGGTCATTCCATCCATCTAATTCACAACCCACCAACATGGTCATCAATTTTCGAAATTGGTTGCCTAAAAATTTAGAAAAATAGTCTTTGGTAGGAAATTCATATAAAATCTAAAACCTTGCCAAATGAATTGAAATTTTTATGGTAGAAAGTAGACATCTAGGAATTCAAATTCATATATTGTTTGCCCCATTTGGAGGTATACAACTCCAAAAATTAATTTTTTAAACTACCAGGCAGACTTGACACATGACAGATTTTCGAAAATAATTAAGATGGTCCAAAGAACTTTTCAAGACATTTCATCCATTAAAATCATCATCGAACCTCATCCACCATTAATCCATCCAAACCTATGTTAAACTCCTCATCTAAACATTATCAAATTCTTCACAATTTCACTACTTTTCCATTGTGAATTTTTGTCTAAGTGTCATAAACAATGCCTTAAAATTCTAGTAGCTTTTCACCATTTATTTGTTATTGTAAACACATAATTCTAAAGGAGCAAGGCCATCCAACCTCTTCAAACAACCCCCACACACCACCATAGTCAAGAACAACATAGATTTTTGATCCATAAGAAAACTCAATGGAAATCAAGAAGTCTTACCATGAATGTGCGTAGAATCACTAAATGATTGTTTTTCAAGCTTCCATTGAAACAATGCAAGCTCCTAAGCCCCTCAAAGCATGTTAGGTCACCACTTTCTCTTCCATAAATCTCTCCACACACAAGCTTTTAGGGAATTCTAGCTTAGAGGTTTTGTTCCCACATGAATTCTAAGCTACTTTGCTTCTAACCAATTGGAATTTCATTAAGAAATGAATGGGTTGGGTTTTCAAGCTTCACCCATGGTGGCTCACGTTTTTTGCTGCTGTTTCACAAAGAAGGAGCTGCTGCCAAGAGAGAGAGAATTCAAAGGGAAGAGTGTTAAGTGACTTGGATTGCCACATAGGCTCTAATAAGATGAAATATCATTTAAACAACTCATTTAACCCGCTAATCACCACTTAATTCATGAACCATCCAATTAATCAAATTTTTAACATTCATCAAAGTCCATTAAATATACTTAAACAGATGAATTCAATTTTTTCCGGTAATTTGGTGAATTTACGATTTTATCCCTAGTTGTGTTTTATCGACATGTTTTCCCAAAAACCATCAAAATTCACCGAATAATCCCACAGGTTATTTTTCTTGATTCTAAATACCTCTTTCAACATATATCCAATCCTAGAGCAGTAATCCTGTTTCTGGGTTACCCAGTGAAATTACACCGCCATTTTATCTGATAAAAATCACTATTCATCAATTTTTCAGAAACTTGCCTATACACTCCAAATTTCATTCTCAATCCATTTTCGATCTTATTTTCATCAAATAATGTTCAGATCTATCATTTTCACAGGTTAGGGTTGCGTATTTGACAAATTACCATTTTATTCTTAGTGTGTATTTCCACCCGAATGAATTTCAAGATTTTCACTAAATAAACCCTTTAACCCACAATTTAATTATTAATAATGCATTTCAAATATGTGAGGTGTTATATATTAGGTGCTCGTTTACCATAGCAACATATGCCAATTTAGGAGTTTTTTTTTATTTAGATATATTTGATCTTTTTTCCTTTTATTTTTTATTTTTTTACTTTTAGTCTATCATTATTTAAAAAAATAAGACAAAAAAGAAATAGGAGAAAAAGAAATAAGTTTTGTAAGTTTCTAACATATTTGATTTTTTTTTTGTTTTCCTCATTATATTTTCTTTTCTTTTTTTATTTAGAAATATTTGGTCTTTTTTTTTTGTCTTTGGTTTATTTTCTTCTTTTTAATTTAGCCTATTTTGATTATTTTACTTTTATTATTTTTTGTTACTATTGTAAGTTTTTAAATTTATGATATTAATTTTTTTTCTTAATCTATTTTTCTTAATTTATATATATTTGATATTTTTTCATTATATTTTTTATTTTTGTTTTCCATGTAAGTATCTAATATTCTTACATTTTTTTTATTCTAAGAATGATAAGATATGACAAATTAATTATGTTTCTAACAGTGTTAAGGGTAAGTTTATATAAATTTTTTTATAGAGTATAAGTGATTAAAAAAAAATAATTTTGTTTTGATTCAAAGCAAAATGATTGAATTTTTTTTTTTTACTTTTTTCCTTTTTTATTTGAGGTATTGAAATTTAGGAGAACAATGACCATTTTGTCACGTTTGGACAAAAAAATTACTAGACTGCGACGCCAACAATAAATTTTGTCAAAATGACACGCGGCATAATTCGTTACACAGTGTAGCGAATTATGCATGCAAGTAATTCGCTACACAGTGTAGCGAAATATGCTACGTCAGAACCAAAAATGCCACATGTCAAATTTTGAGAAATTCGCTACATGTGGCATTTTTGGTTCTGACGTGGCATATTTCGCTACACTGTGTAGCGAATTACTTGCATGCATAATTCGCTACACTGTGTAGCGAATTATGCCGCGTGGCATTTTGACAAAATTTATTGTTGGCGTCGCAGTCTGATAATTTTTTTGTCCAAGCGTGGCACTTTGGTCACTGTCCCAAATTTAGGAGCAAAGTTTCTCTGGTCCCAACGAGAAATCATTTAATGGGACTCTGGCGAGAGAACGGAAGAAAAGGTTGAGGAGATAGGAGAAAGAAAAAAGAAAAAAAAAAGAAAAAGAAATAAATTAATTCAGATATCAATATTTTAGTGGAAGGAACATAGTCGATCACATTAATTCCGAAATTTAGAGTACTACATAAATGTCAGCTTTATCGAGGTTGTTTTATAACAATACAGATTAACACAGTTATATAGAAATGAACATCGAACTGCAAAAAAATAATAATTTAAATTAACTAAATTGTTTTAAAAAAAAAAAACTAAATTAAATTACTCTTTCCAATTTTCTCTCTCAGGAAACTCTCCCGTTACTCGTCCCAGCCTGTCACTGATACGTGCACTATTCGGCGGGAAAATCCGTATCTAACATTCTCAATTAAATTCCTGGATGAATTAAACCCTACTCTGGTCTTCCCCTAACCAATGAGTGGTCGCACGATGAACGTTCTGAACGTGGCGGAGAAGCCCTCGGTGGCGAAATCCGTCTCCAACATCCTATCAAGGAACCAGGGTTTGCGAGTCAGGGAGGGCCGTTCCCGCTACAACAAGATCTTCGAGTTCAACTACTCCATTCGCGGCCAGCCCTGCCACATGCTCTTCACCTCCGTCACTGGCCACCTCATGGAGCTCGAATTCGAAGAGCGTTACCGCAAATGGCACTCTTGTGACCCCGCCGATCTCTACAACGCTACTGTCCAGAAATTTGTTCCTGAGGTTCACTATCTCTTCCTCCTCCTTCTTATTCAATCGCCATGCTCTCTCTCTCTCTCTCTCTCTCAGATTTTCATTGCAATTCATTTGTATTGTTAACCTAGGACAAGAAAGATATCAAGAGGACGCTAGAGGAGGAAGCTAGGAGGTGTCAGTGGCTTGTTTTGTGGCTTGATTGTGATAGAGAGGGTGAGAACATTGCGTTTGAAGTGGTTGACGTATGTACTGTGGCAAATCGTCACCTTACTATAAAGAGGGCTCGTTTCTCTGCTTTGATTGACAGGTTCAACTTCAACATCGTGGTTTTGTGGTTATTTTTATCGTTCTAGTGTTTGATTGTCACTGCTTTTGAAATGCGCCATGTCAGGGAAATACATGAAGCTGTACAAAATCTTGTTGAGCCTAATAAGTGGTTTGCTGATGCTGTGGATGCTAGGCAAGTGAGTCGCCTTTTCTTCACCTAACCTAGATGGAGTTGTGCTTTTGTATTTCCATGCCATCTGTTTACTTGTCGCAATTGAAACAAGCATTTGATGTTCTTGGTTGTTTTTAATTTACCGACTAATTTATACTATTTGATATTGCCACTTTGTAGAGGGTGATTGATGATTATTTAGTTTTCTGCAGGAAATAGATCTTCGTATTGGTGCTTCTTTCACCAGATTCCAAACCATGTTAATGAGAGATGCTTTTGTCATTGACACTGCTGCAGATGACAGAAATCTTGTCTTAAGTTATGGCCCTTGCCAGGTGTGCTTCTGTTGAGAACATGATAGATACTGTATTAAAGGTGTGTGGTTTTTGTGCTTAGCCAGGTATTTGGTTCTTATGAGTTTCCATTTTACCTTAATTTTGACTACAGTTCCCTACACTTGGATTTGTTGTGGAAAGATATTGGGAGATACAAGCACATGAGCCAGAAGAGTTTTGGTCAATCAATTGTTCTCATAGATCAGATGAAGGAATTGCTAATTTCGGCTGGATGTAAGATGCAAAGCTTTTGGTGCATTCGTAATTCTTGTTGACTTTTACTAACTGCATGTTTTGGATATAATCTGAATTCATTTGGCAGGAGGGGCCATTTGTTTGATTATACTTGTGCAGTTATGATATATGAGATGTGTGTTGAGGAACCAAATGCAACTGTGAGTCTTCCTTAAAGCTTGTGATTGGGCATATGTTGAATTTAGAGTATTTTTTTATTATACATATTAATTACATTCAGGTCACAAACGTTAGACAACAAGAGAAGCTGAAGTATCCTCCACATCCTCTCAATACCATTGAGCTTGAGAAACGTGCTTCACGATACTTCAGGATGAGTTCTGAGCACACAATGAAGGTGAGTCAATGGTGGGAATCTATTTGTTTGTGTGCTTTTTACTTATAAGTGATGTCTATTTCAAGTCTACAGCTACATTCCAAAAGGTTTATAATTTACTAACTTTAGAATGTGTAAGAAGAAATAATGCACTTCTAGATGATGCTAAAGAAAAAGCTGAAAAAACTCACCACAGCACTGAGAAGTTTGAAATTAAATTTTTTACCCATGGTTGTCTACGTATATATCATATGTTAGAACTATGTGTGCATGCATGTAAGAGGCACAGTTTGTAGTCTGCCAGTCTTTAGTCATCTGGACGACGGTTTACTGTTTACATGAATCTGTGATTGCCAAACTATGGTGACTGTGGTGAATGAACAAATGCATTTAGATAACTCTTGTTCTGACAAATTCACGACTTACACCTTATTTAATTATTTATAGGTGGCAGAAGAACTTTACCAAGCTGGTTTCATCAGCTATCCTCGTACAGAAACTGATAGCTTTTCTTCAAGGACTGATTTGCATGTGGGTAAATTTTGTCTTCTTCCAAGCTTGGAAAATTATTACAGTTGTAGCTATCCCTGATGGATTTGGACTTAAAAGATACGGGAAAGTGCTAGAATTATTGCTAAGTTGCATGTGGAAGTAAAGCACCAACCATGGTTTGGGAAAGGGTGAAGGAGAACATGCTATTTGATGTGGATGTTGTGGAACTGTGTACACTTTTTTGGTCTGTTATTCACTACAAATAAAAGAGAACGGGGTAAAGGAATTATGTCTTTGAAGAGGTAGTGTTGATGTTATGATGTAGGAGAAAAGAAATATATAGTGTTTATCGCTTTGAATATTGCTGGAACTCATATAATAGCGTTTTAATATAATGTGGGTACATGACTAATCGACTACATGTAGGTGCACATTAGAAAGCATATTTGAATATGATTATTTTATAAATACGAGCTACTTTTCTTTTATAACATTTGATAACAGAATGCATGGTTTTAAGTAAGTGAAGAAGATCTGATTTTTGAAGCCACTATGCCTAATTATTGCACATTAAGATTTTCACTTGCATTGTTCAACTTGTACAGTGTTAATAATATTGTTGTTTCACACCTAATCATCTGTTTATTTCTTTTCTCTAGTGACTAGCCTTTTATTTTTCTTTGTTGTTTTATTTTTATTTTAATTGTAGACAATTGTTCAAGAACAACAAGGGCATCCTCAGTGGGGAATATATGCACAGCGGTTGTTGGACCCTGGGGTGGGACTTTGGAGAAACCCTAGTGGTGGTGGACATGATGACAAGGCACATCCCCCCATTCACCCCACAAAATTTTCTACTGGAGAATCTGGATGGAGCCAAGACCACCGTGTCAGACATGATTGCTTACCACTCCTTTTACTTAAAAACACTGTATTTTGCTTTCACATTCATATTCATATTCTTTCTCATATTACCACAGAAATTGTATGAGTTGGTTGTTCGCCACTTCCTGGCATGTGTTTCAAAGCCTGCTGTAGGAGCTGAAACCACAGTTGAAATTGATATTGCAGGTGAACTATTTTCAGCATGTGGGCGGGTGATTTTAGAGGTGAGATTTCTTTGTTATTATGCTATGCATATATATTTTTCACTTGTTGTAGATTTTGTGTGATTTGAGTCATTTGACTTGGTTGATTCAATGATTTAATAATTCATATGCATGCTTTGCACAGCCGTAATTGCTATTTAAGACAAATATTTGGTCTATTTTGAAAGTAAACCTTTTTTCAGTAAATTGTGTAGACAAAAAATGGAGCTTATAAGATTAAGGCAACATAATTTAAAATATGATTTGATCTGTTAAATGTAAATACTTTAGAGATCTCTTGTATTTGTTCCCCTAATTTCTTCTCTTGTCCTTGGAAAACGGACTGCAGTTGGTTGCTCTTGTATGGATTTTCTCATTGGTTTTTCTGTATAAAGTCTTTTTTCTCCCCAAAACATATAAAGTTCTAAATTAATGTGCGTGTATTTGTTATTAACTGACAACTGAATTTTGTTCCTGCCTATCTAAAATTGTTCCTCTATATCCATTCCCATTTCCTTTCAAGCTTGAAATTTTGTTACAAAAATGCAATATGTTTAAATAAACAACAAAACATCATTATCACAGACTAGTTGGGGAATATATTGAAATAAACTATAAAAAAATCCTTTCTCCTTCTAAGCATAAAAGTGAGTGCATTGCAGTCCAATCAGCAATAGTGCCTGTGCATATTATCAGGGCAAAATTGAAAAGATCTCCTTAAAGCTACAACTGGCTAACTGCCTAACTTCCCTTTGATTTTAATCTGCATAGCTTTCCTTTTTAGAATTGGGTTTTGCTTTTCATTTTCAGCCACAAGGCTATTTCAATCATTCAAAATTTCTTTGTCAACTGTCACAAGAACTGCTTATTCTTGTAGCCTTTGTTATTCAATATTATTGAAATCCATAATTATTTTTTGTTATAGGTACTATCACTACCACCTTTTGCCTTGTTTACAACCTTGAACCTATATGATTATGACTACGGCATTGAATTGCTTCTGGGAATAACTAAGATTCACTTAGTACATGTTAATATATGTGTGGATTTTCTTGCTGCTTGTTTGTTTTTTGCCGAACATCTTCTAATTAATGTTTGGGGCAACTTGAAATTTTCTGATTATATGTAATTGTTTGGTTTTAATTTGATCAGAAAAACTACTTGGATGTTTATCCATTTGAATCTTGGGGTGGATCGATGATTCCAACATACACTGTTGGTCAACAGGTTTGTTTTGAATTATAGCATCAGATTATATATAACGTTATTGTTGAGATATATAAAACCATTAATGTAGCCTCACCCAATAGCTTAAGCTTTTGGGTTGAATTGGTTCTTTACTTGGTATCAGAGCTTGAGTGACTACAAGGTCACAAGTTCGATCCTCACCGCCCCCCACTTTAAAGTGGAATTAAAATAAAAGCACAAAAGGTAAACCAAAAAATTGGGCCTGTGCAATATCCACGCTTCTAGCCTAAAGGGCTCTTGCGTGAGGGGGTGTGTTAGAGAATAATATAAATTATTAAAAAGGCCCTCACCCAACACCTTAAGGTTTTGGGTTGAATTGGTTCTTTATATATTTCAACAATAACAATAAATGATACATAGAAAAAGTGTCTAAAAATTCATATTAAGTAATTGGATACAATGATTCATATTTTCCCAATCCATATTGCCTCTCATTCAGAATCTGAGAATATGTTACGACAATTGCAACTTGTCCATGTAGTGGATTGATGGGTGTCATTATGAACAGATTTTGCCTAACTATATGCTGAACGATAATAGTCCTTTCTTTGGTAGCCTTGATTTAAATAATATTAATAAGAAACAAGTAGATAACGTGGATTAAACTTTAAGAACCAAAAGCCATCCTCGAGTCAAATTGATGGAAAAAAGGATAAAAATAAAGAAAAAAGGACCTAAAACATCAACTTTCTTAAATTTATTGGCACGTTAAAATGGATACTTAAAGTGATTACTTGCAACATTTTATGTTTGGATCATTTTGTCTTCATTTCAATCATGAAGGAAGACAAAATTTGTCAAAATTCTAAATCTTCAGCCTTTAATAAGGCATTAAATACAACAGTGAGGTTTACAAAAGAATATAGTAAGTATTATAATTTATCTAAACCAATGATACTGGGATTTGTTTTGTGTGGAATACCATCAGGAATCTGACAATTAGGACAATGAACAGCTTGTGAGGGAAATGACAAGTACAACAAAATAATCAACTGCAAATAAAATAACTGTAAAGAACCAATTCAACCCAAAAGCTTAAGCTATTTGGTGAAACTACATTAATGGTTTTATATATCTCAACACGCCCCCTCACACGAGAGCCCACTGGGCTTGAAGGGTGGACAATGCAGAGGCCCATCTACCTGTGCGAACAAAGAAATTCCACTTGAAAGAAAGTGGGGGGCGGCGAGGATCGAACCCGGTACACGAGGCTCTGATACCATGTAAAGAACCAATTCAACCCAAAAGCTTGATCGCGGAGGCAAAAGCCACTAAATTATCTACATACGCTATCGATTGAGTAGCGAGTAGAGAATAAAGATTTAGCGAGAAAAGCAGCGCAGAAAAAAGGAGAAAGAAAAGCTCGATTAAGCTTTTGGGTTGAATTGGTTCTTTACATGGTATCAGAGCCTCGTGTACCGGGTTCGATCCTCGCCGCCCCCACTTTCTTTCAAGTGGAATTTCTTTGTTCGCACAGGTAGGTGGGCCTCTGCATTGTCCACCCTTCAAGCCCAGTGGGCTCTCGTGTGAGGGGGTGTGTTGAAATATATAAAGAACCAATTCATCCCAAAAGCTTAAGTTATTGGGTGAAACTACATTAATGGTTTTATATATCTCAACAATAAGCATGTTTCAGGAGCAGTAGTTGTGAACTGGGTGCAAGGTGGACTGCATGTGACTCACTTAATGAGTTGGACATTAACCGGGTTTATTTTGAACCGAGCCGAGTTGCCGGGTTTTAAGAAATCCAACCGAGTCAAACGGTTCATACCGGTTTGAATACATATCCGATCTAACAGCTCACTCGGACTGGCTACATGACTGGTTCACCGGTTTTTGAGTCAAACCGGCCGGTTTGAGCCGGGTTTAATTACACTGGTTATAACCCTTGGGTTTTAAGTTTGTACTGTATGCAAATTGCATCTGAGTCAGAAGAACAAATATTCACGGCAGTGCTATTGGTATTACAGTTCATTCCAACAGCATTGACCCTTGATTCAGGAGTAACCAGACCACCGCCACTTCTGAGTGAGGCTGATCTGCTGAGTTGTATGGACAAGGTAAGAATGATATAGAATCAGACAGGCTGAATCATATAATTAAAATTTGATACTTTCTTGCCTGTAAGTCGAATTATGTGTCATTAAATATTGACAGTTGTATACATGTTTTCCTTTTTATTTCTTCTCAAAAGGAGGGTATTGGCACAGATGCTACAATGCATGATCACATCAAGAAGCTGCTTGACCGATTTTATGCAACTAAGGATGCTAGCACTCGTTTCAGTCCAACTAATCTTGTAAGCCCGTACTGTTAAATTTGAGAAAAACATTTTCTTTCTTTCTTGTGACTTATCTCCATGTCTTTTTCTGGGGTTGTCTTGACACATATTTACAGCTGTTAAGAAGAGTTACCATGTAAGGTTAGAAGAGGCAGTTGCGAGTAATATTTATGACCCATTGTGCGAATAATTCTTTTCAATAAAAGTGATTTTGTATTCACTGTTGGAGCATTATTCTAAAAATTGAACATGATAGCTACTGGATGTGTACATTATGTTGTCAAACATCTGGTTTAGTTGACAGTTAGGAGAGCTGCATTTCTTTAAACATGAAGAAGATGACCATGAACCCTATAGGATTAATAATTATTACATCTATAAATTTACATCTGTTAGAATCTGATATTTTTACCTGCGTTAATTTTGACAAAAATTAAATATACAGTTGCACGAACAAAGAATAAGTAATTTATCACAGGAAATCTGCTTAAAAGAATTTTTCACCATAACATGGCATCAAATTCTATTGTCTATCCTTGTAAATTTTATTTTCTATAGAGCTTTATAAGAGTGACATAGGCATGATTATTAATATTTTAGATATGCTTTAGCCGTGTCCTTATGGTCTTTTACTTACGTAGAAATTGAAGCAGATCAATATTACGAAAAATTGAAAGTTTTTACCCATGAACATATTCATCATGTCAATGCTTGAAGAATTTTTTTCTTTTTACTGTTAGCTTAGTTATAATGTATTTAATTCTCAATGATGTAGTTGTGTTGGCATAAGTAGTCAAAACAAAATAGTCATAACACATTTTTATTGATTGTGAGTTTGATATTATTGTAGGGTGAGGCACTTGTTATGGGATACGATGATATGGGGTAAGTCATTCCCTTAATTTTAAAAGTGTTTCTATTCTCATGTCTATCCTTAGTATATTCTTTATCTCACTTAAGTGGATGTTTGTATTATTGTTATAAACTTTGCATGATAAAATCTTTTAGTTAGATGCAATAAATTTTTGGAAAAATTACAAAAGAGGAATTCTTAGTAGAGATATATCATGTTTAGGAACAATTAACCACTCAACTAGGGGTGTTCTACACCCGTTGTGTCCTGATAATGATTCAATTGATTAATGTTCAAAGAGTGGTTAATTGTTAAGTGTTAGAGAATAATATAAACCATTAAAAATGCCTTCACCCAACACCTTAAGGTTTTGGGTTGAAGTGGTTCTTTACATGGTATTAGAGCTTCAGTGACCACAAGGTCACGAGTTCGATCCTCACTGCCCTCCACTTGTGGAATTAAATAAGTATTAGGTAAACAAAAAAGAAGAAGATAAAATTGGCCTATGCAGTATCCACGCTTCAAGCCCAAAGGGTTCTTGCGTGAGGGGGTGTGTTAGAGAATAATATAAACCATTAAAAAGGCTTTCACTTAACACCTTAAGGTTTTTGGTTGAAGTAGTTCTTTACATTAAGCAGCAATTGACTTAATCATTTGGGCTGTTAATTGTTCCTCAATTGGAGATCATTTTTCCAAGAATTCCTTTTCTATAATCATCCCTAAATTTTCAACCATGTAGATTTTGAGTTGACTTTGAATATTGTATTAAACATGTGAAGGATATAATTGGAAAGGACCTTGGATGGCTAGTAATATTTACAGAGAAGGATATATTTTGGTTTTTCTGTTATGAACTTATAATTGTGGTTGATGATTCCTTTTTTATAAATGTTATGGCTACACCGAATTAATTGTACTTGACTACTTGATAACTTAACAAGAAAAACCCTATTTTTAAATGAATACCCAAGCTTAAATATGGACAATTGGTCCTTTTCATTAATTTCCTCTGAAATTATTTAACTCCCCCCTTTTGGTTAAAAGATTATATACAATTTTAGCTTCAATACATGCTGGGAACCATACTTGTTCCGCTTCCTATGGTGGAGGGTCAATGGGGGTCACATTGAATCCCTTATGTGAATTGCCAAGAAACTATTTTAGCTGACCAAGCTAGCACCTTTGTTAAAATGTGGACACTATGTAGCGGTCTACCTTTTAGTATATATCACTTTTCTTATTGTGATGAAGTTAAATTTGGTCTTTTCCAAGAACCTAGAAAGGTATAGTATCTTTAAATAAAAGGTTAAGGTGGAAGCCTAATTAATGTTGGTACATAGTTTGTCTTGCATGGTATACAATGCTTTATCCAGATCATTTAGTCAAGAAAAGGATATATATTTTGTTTGAATCTGAAATGTGATTTTCACATTATATGCTTCCTCCTTTAGCTCCAACTCAGCATGTACGGTTCTCCATCAGCATAATACCTAGTGACTAGGGTAAGATGCCCTTTGCATCAAAAAACCCTGTCAACCTAACATGGGTTTTGATGTGCATTTGTCTCATTCTACCTTTGAGTTTTCAGGTATAAACTTTGGAAACCATATCTTAGAGCAGTTATGGAACGCGACATGAAATTAGTCAGTGAAGGGAATAAAAGCAAAGATGAAGTTTTGGCAACTAGCTTGCAGCAGATGAAAGCTTGTTTTCTAGATGTAAGCAGTTATTTGATTCAAGCTTGTTAGCTATTAGTTATTATCAAGATTTGGTTATTATGACTGTCTGCAGTCTCATGCAGTTGATATTGCATCTTTTGAACTATTATTTTAAAATGTGCTATCTATTTTTTCTTTGGGTTGGCAAACATTTATGTGAACACTATTTGCGGCAATTGTAGTTTATTGATGTAGGTTTGTAATGACATGTGACAATAATAAGAATTGTTCATATGTCTCGTAAATTGTTATAAATAATTGTATTGTAAATATTTACTTTTCATTATAGAATCTTCTTTGGGCTTAGCCCATGAGGTCATTCAGTCTCTATAAATAGAGAGCTCTTGTACATTTGTAATTAACAATATTCACATAATACAATCATACTTTTCAAGTTCTTTCTTTTCAAGTTGGTATCAGAGCTCTCGATCCTGAGGGCTCTGCTTCCACAACTGCCGCCTTTAGAGCGTAATCTTATTTGTCAGCCTCTTGCAGTAACTGAAAATTTTTTCCGGGGACCTTTTGGACCAAGAGGAGTAGAGAACCACCATTTGACTCCTTTTTTCCAGATCTATCAATCTACGGACGTTTCCAGCAGTGGGTCTTTGATCTCGTCATAAAAATCGGATCTTTTTGGCCACTTGCGCCTCCTTTGATCATATCTGATTTTTTTGTTGTTATTTGGGACGTTCAGAGACCTCTACTTGTCATAAAAAGTGGATCTTTTTGGCCACTCGTGCCTCCTTTGATCAAATCTGATTTTTTTGTTGCTGTTAGGGACGTTCAGAGGCTTCTACAACATCGTCTGGTTGTGCGTTTGTGTGTTTTTTTCCTCAAGTTGCAGATTTTTTGGCCTTTTCTAGTTCCTCTTTTTGCAGATCTAATAATTTTGCTTCTGTTTGGACTTAAACTTGAAGTTGTTGTTCTGGTTGTGCTCTCTGGAGACTTTTTTTAACTTCATTGATAATTACCCACTTTTTTTGGGTTGTTCTCTTTAATCTGTTTTATTTGTCCATGCGACGTTGGTGCACCTATTGTAAGAGTGCTAGACACACAAGAGATACGTGTTTTCGCTTTCATGGGAAGTGTGATAATGTTACTCCATAGGTGAATATTCGGCAAGGGGAGTTGGAGCAGGTTAAGGCCGCTATTGATACTTTGCGTAAGCCGTTTGACCATTCTATGATCTTGTCTGGTAAGAACACGTGTTCTACTTCTCTTCTTGCACTGATTTCAAAACTTCATGGATTTTGGATTCTGGTGTAACTGATCATATGACTTGTCTTGCTGAGTCTTTTCTTTCTTATCATCCTACTGTTGGTAGTCATACTTTAGCCGTAGCCGATGGATCCCATAAATCAGTTATTGGTTCTGGTAACATTCAAGTTCAACCTTCCTTGTTTCTTAAAATTGTTCTTTATGTTCCTCAGCTTTCCACTAATCTTATCTCCACTAAAAAGCTTACAACTGATTTGAATTGTTCTATCACCTTTTTTCCTTCTCATTGTATTATTCAGGATCTTACCACGAGGAAGACAATTGGAGTTGCTGAGGAGCAGAGTGGGTTGTATTATCTTCTTCCAGAACATGCTACAAATGATACCAAAAATCAGCTATTGATGACACGTTATACTTCTACGGAAGAGTCTATGATTTGGTTCCATCACAAGCGTTTGAGGCACCCACCATTTGGTCCATTGAAGTCAATGTTTCCTTCTCTGTTTCTAAATCAGTCAGTTGAGACCTTTCATTGCGATGTTTGTGAATTTGCAAAACACCATCGAGTGTCCTTTCCTTCTAGTGCTATCAAAAGCATTGAACCTTTTTCTCTAATTCATTCTGATATTTGGGTCCCTTCTAAAGTGCATAATGTTTCAAGTGCAAAGTGGTTTGTTTCTTTTATTGACGATTGTGCTCGGGTGACATGAATATTCTTAATGAAAGACAAGTCTGAAGTACCAGAGATATTTATCCGATTTTATCACATGGTTGAGACTCAGTTTGGTAAGAATATTAAAAGATTAAGATCTGATAATGGTACTGAGTACGTCAACCAACGTCTGTCGCAATTCATTTCAGACAGATGTTTGATTCCTGAGTTCACATGTGTTGATACCCCTCAACAAAACGGGGTTCCTGAAAGAAAAAATTGTGACCTCCTTGAAGTCGCTAGAGCGCTATTGTTCCAGACATCTGTTCCTAGTTCTTATTAGAGAGAAGCCGTGTTAGCTGCAGCCTTTTTGATCAACTACTTACCTTCACGGGTCCTTAACAATAATTGTCCTATTCATTCCATGACTTTCTTCTTTCCTTTTGTTCCCATTTTGCAGAGTCTTCCACAACGAGTGTTTGGTTGTGTTGCCTTTCTCCATGTTCATAAACAACATCCCAGTAAGGTGGATCCTAGGGCTTTTAAGTGTGTCTTCCTTGGTTATGACCCTGATAAAAAAGGCTACAAGTGTTAACATCATCCGAGTCAATTTTTTTTTGTTTCTATGGATGTCACTTTTCATGAATCTGAGTCTTTTTTTCCAGGGTCCTCATCTTCAGGGGGAGGGCAGTTCTTCAGAAGACTAGTCCCCTTCCTTCTTTGAGTCTGGGTCGTCCTTGTCTACTCCTACACCTCTCCCTCCTGTGTCTACTCCTGATGTGTTAGAACCTTCAAGTACACCTGAGATATGGAAAATTTTGACACCTGAACTTGTATATAAGAGGAGGAAACAACCCTTACTGCTTCACTAGCAACTTCAATCGTCTGAATCACTGGTAACTCCTGAATCTCTTGTTTCTGAACATGATATTATTGTCTTTGATGACTTACCCATTGCTTCTGATAATTTACCTAGTGTCTCTGATGACTTACCCTTTTCCTTAAGAAAAGGAAAAAGATCTTGCACCCAATACCCTATCTCTCAATTTGTTTCTTCTACTAACCTTTCTATGCAGCACAAACGCTAATGTCAGCACTAGATTCCATTTGCATCCCAAAATCAGTGCACGAAACATTAAAAGATAAGAATTTGGTTCAGGCTATGCAAAAGGAGATGAATGCCTTGCAGAAGAATAAAACATGAGAGGTTGTTGATAAACCTAATGGAAAGAAAGTAGTAGGGTGACTTGAGATTAAAGAATAATTGTATATTGAATAATCATAGTGTATTACAATGTACAAGAGCTCTCTATTTAAAGAGACTAAAAGACCTAATAGGTTGAGCTCATACGATGTGGGACTATATATATACTGAACTATTTTTACAACTATTCTAACACTCCCCCTCAAGCTGGAGCATATATATTGTAAGCACCCAGCTTGCCACAAATATATTCAACCCGAGGACCCCTAAGAGCTTTAGTGAAGACATCCGCGAGTTGATCATTGGAGTTGACAAATTCCGTTTTGATTTCTCCTGACTGAATCTTTTCTCGAATGAAATGACAATCGATCTCTATATGTTTGGTTCTCTCATGAAATACAGGATTAGAGGATATATGTAGTGCAGCTTGATTGTCACAAATGAGAGTCATGGGTTTCTTCTGTTCACAAAGATGGAGCTCCCGAATCAACTGCTTTAACCAGATTAGCTCGCAAGTAGCAACTCCCATTGCACGATACTCGGCCTCTGCACTAGATCGGGCAACAACAATTTGTTTCTTACTTTTCCAAGAAATCAGGTTTCCTCCAAAGAAAACACAATAGCCTGAAGTAGAGCGCCTATCCGAGGGTGATCCTGCCCAATCGGCATCTGAATAACCACAAATTTCTGTATTTCCCTGATCTGAATATAATAAACCTTTCCCTGGTGCTCCTTTGATGTAACGAAGGATCCTAACAACAGCATCCCAATGAGAATCACACGGAGAATCAAGAAACTGACTAGCGACACTAACAGCAAAAGAAATGTCCGGCCTAGTCACAGTGAGATAATTGAGCTTCCCAATCAACCTCCGATAACGTCCAGGATCAGATAATGGTTCTCCTTGTCCGGGTAGTAATTTGATACTAGGATCCATGGGTGTGTCAACTGGCTTACACGCCAACATACCAGTCTCTTCTAGGATAACCAAGGCATACTTCCTTTGACAGATAGAAATGCCCTGTCTAGATTGTGCTACCTCAATTCCCAAGAAGTAACGCAGCTTCCCGAGGTCCTTTGTCTGAAATTGACTGAATAAATACTGTTTTAACTGACAAATTCCAGCTTGATCACTCCCGGTGAGGATGATGTCATCAACATAGACTAACAAATAGATGCACTTATAAGGAGATGTGATCCTATAAAGCACAGAGTGGTCAACTTTACTGCGAATTAAGCCAAACTCCTGAACAGCAGAACTGAAGCGACTGAACCATGCCCGAGGAGACTGCTTGAGACCATATAAGGATTTGCGAAGATGACACACCTTCCTAGAATCCCTCTGAGCAACAAAACCCGATGGTTGCTCCATATAAACTTCTTGTAAATCACCATGAAGAAAGGCATTTTTGATGTCAAGTTGAAGGAGTGGCCAGTGACGAATAGCAGCAAGAGCAAGAAATAGGCGAACTGACGCCATCTAAGCGACCGGAGAGAATGTATCGCTATAATCAAGGCCGAATATTTGAGTAAAACCCTTTGCAACTAGGCGGGCCATGAGTCGATCGACATGGCCATCAGGTCCAACTTTCACAGTAAACACCCAGCGACAACCAACTGTAGACTTCTCTGGAGGAGCAGAAACAAGGTCCCAAGTGCCATTGGAATGAGTGCAGTCATCTCATCAAGCATCGCTTGGCGCCACCCTGGATGGGAAAGTGCTTCACATGTGGTCTTAAGAATAGAAATAGAAGAAAGACTAGAAACAAAGGTGAAATGAGGTGAAGAAAGACGGTCATAGCTCAAAAAAGTATAAAGAGGATAAGGGTTACGAGTAATACGTGTACCTTTTCTTTGAGCAATGGGAAGAGCCTCTGGTGAAGGATCCGGAGAGGAAGAAGCAACAACAGTGGGCGATGAGTCAGCAAGAGTCGAGTCGACAGGAGGCACAGTTTTGCGACGCTGATAGGTGAGAAGTGGACGGTCCTCAGGTATAGAAGCAATAGGTTGCTCATTTGGAATAGAAGCACCTGCAGCTGGCAAAGACAAGTCAAGAAAAGGGACAGGAAGAACATGATCAACCTGTGACAACTGAGATGGAATAGAATTAAAGGGTTGTTGATCAAGAAAAGTGACATCAGCGGAAACTAAGTAACGCTTAAGATCGGGAGAATAACAACGATAACCCTTTTGAAGACGAGAATAACCAAGAAAGATACACTGAAAGGCTTTGGATGTTAACTTATCCTTACCAGGAGTGAGATCATGAACAAAACAAGTACAATCAAAGACATGTGGAGTTAGAGGATAAAGAGGAACATCTGGAAGCAATAGGTTATGAGGAATGTCATTGTTGAGCACAGATGAGGGCATGCGATTGATGAGAAAATAAGAGATGAGTACATCATCTGCCCAGAAGTGAAGGGGAACCTGCATATGAAGAAGAAGGGTACGTGCAATTTCAATGAGATGTCTGTTTTTACGTTCAGCCACCCCATTTTGTTGTGGAGTGTGAGGACAAGTAGTTTGATGTAAAGTACCTTGTGTGGCCAAGAAATTACAAAAATCAATAGAAACATATTCCTTAGCATTATCACTATGTAGAATACGAATAGAAACACCAAATTGAGTATGAATCTCAGTATAAAACTTTTTATAAATGGAAAATAACTCAGAACGATTTTTCATTAAATAGACCCAAGTGCAACGCGAAAAATCATCAATAAAGGTAACGAAATACCGAAAACCTAAAACAGACAAGGTACGACTTGGACCCCAGATATCTGAATGAACAAGAGAGAAAGGGGCATCAGCTCGTTTATTGACTCGACTGGCAAAAGAGGAACGTGTATGCTTCCCTTGTTGACATGACACACAATCTAAAGACTGAAGACCGAATAAAAGAGGAACCATTTTCTGCAACTTTGAAAGACTTGGATGACCGAGGCGACTGTGGATAAGTTGTGGAGATTCTGTGAGAGAGAGTGCCACTGAAGGGCGAGGCACATCCAGATAGTAAAGCCCCCGTGACTCACGACCCACTCCAATCATTTCCCCCGTACCCGGATCCTGCACAGAAACAGAATGGTTAGAGAAAGTAATAGTGCAAGTGAGGGAGTGGATCAACTTACTAATAGAAATTAAGTTATAAGGGATGCCAGGAATGTAATAAACAGATGTCAAGGCCAAGGTAGAGGTCGGACGAGCTTGTCCAATCCCACGAACTGGGGCTTTGGTTCCATCCGCAAGGGTAAAAGAAGGTAAATGATCAGAATAAGTAAGAGATGTAAAGAGTTCCTTATTACCACAGAGATGATCGGTAGCACCTGAGTCAAATATCCAAGTGCCAAGTGATGTAGAATGAGAAACACAAGCAACGGGATTACCAGTATATGGTTGAGACTGAGGAGAAGCCTTCTTGAGAAGAGTTTGGAGTGCAGCATAGTCCGCAAGTGAGAGAGAAACTGAACGAAATGATGCATTGTCTGACTGAGCTATATTCACAGCAAGAGAGGTAGAATCCTTCAGTTTGGAAGATGTAATGGGCCCAATATTAGTAGAGATGATTCCTGAGGAAGTTTTGACAGGAGGACAAGGAGAGTTAACCTCCGAGAGATCAGTGGACGCTGCTGCCATTTAAAAACAGAATATAAAAGCCGTAAACGAAGGCAAACGATATCCAATCAAGGAGAACCACGTGTCTAAAGTGAGACCCACAAAGAACCAAGCACAGATCCAGAAAGAGGAGAAGAAGGCGAGAAGTTCTGTCCAAGAACGGCCGGAAAAATCTACCGGAACAGTGCACACGCGCCGGTTGAAGGTGGCGCGTGAGCACCACGCGCAGAGGAGAAGAACGGCGCGTGGAGGCGCGTGGCTGACGCGACGGTGGTCGGACCACCACAGAACTGGTCGCTGGGATGAGACGGTCCTGATCGCAGGTAGTCTGGGCTGAAAACTCGCTGGAACAGTGCTCCGGTGGCCTGAACAGTGACGAGCGGCGGTTGTTGGCGGCGGGAAGTGGTTCTGACAGTTGAAGAAACAAGCCGGAGAGCACACGGCTTAGAGAAAAACTCGCCGGAAGAATGCACGGCAAAGTAGAAGAGAACACCTAAGCAGTGGGCTTAGGGTTTTAGCGGAAGCGGATCCCCAGAGCGAAAAAGCTCTAATACCAACTTGAGATTAAAGAATAATTGTATATTGAATAATCATAGTGTATTACAATGTACAAGAGCTCTCTATTTAAAGAGACTAAAAGACCTAATAGGTTGAGCTCATACGATGTGGGACTATATATATACTGAACTATTTTTACAACTATTCTAATAGGGTGCAGATGGGCTTATGCCCTAAAGTACAATTCTGATGGTACTCTTGAGAGATATAAGGCTCGATTAGTCGCCAAGGGTTACAATCAGATCTATAGCATTGATTATGAAGAAACTTTTGCCCCAGTTGCAAAGATGAATACTGTGAGAGCCTTGTTGTCCCTTGCTGCCTATCACAACTGGGATATAAATCAATTTGATGTGAAGAATGTTTTCCTTAATGGTGAATTAGAAGTTTACATGGAAATCTCGCCTTGTTTTGTCTTTATGGATGGAGAAAATAAAGTTTGTAGGTTAAAGAAGGCCTTGTATGGATTGAAGCAGTCTCCTCGTACTTAGTTTGAGAGGTTTACTAAGGTTATGATGACCTTAGGATACAAACAGAGTCAAGGAGACCACACACTTTTCTTCAAGCACTCCCAAGATGGGAAGCTTACTGTGCTCCTTGTGTATGTTGATGACATTATTATAACAGGGGATGATATTGCGGAGAGACATGTTCTACAAGCACCACTAGCCTCTGAATTTGAGATTAAAGACCTTGGGAGATTGAAATATTTCCTAGGGATAGAGGTAGCTCATTCAAAGGAAGGAATTTTTATTAGTCAGAGAAAATATGTCCCGGATCTTCTCAAAGAAGTATGAAAACTTGGGTGTAAACCATCTAGTACTCCTATTGAGCAGAATCACAAGATTGGTTATGAAGAGGAGAGTCCTCCAGTTGATAAAGGACAATATCAGCGGCTAGTTGAGAGACTGATATATTTGGCTCATACTAGACCAGACATAGTTTATGCTGTTAGTATTGTAAGTCAGTTCATGCATAATCCAAAAGAAAAACACATGCAAGTAGTAGAGAGAATTCTTTAGTACCTTAAAGCCACTCCTGGTAAAGGATTGTTATTCCGGCGTGATGGCAATCTCTCTTTAGAAGTTTATACTGATGCCGATGATGCTGGATCAGTGATTGACCGTCGATCTACTACTGGTTATTGTATGTTCCTTTGTGGTAACTTAGTGACATGGAGGAGTAAGAAACAGGATGTGGTTGTCAGGTCAAGTGTTGAGGCTGAATTTCGAGCTATGGCTTAAGGCATTTGTGAATTATTGTGGTTGAAGATTATACTTGATGATCTTAAAATAAGATATGAAGGACCTATGAAGCTATTTTGTGATAATAAGTCAGCCATTTGTATAGCTCATAATCCAGTTCAACATGATCGGACTAAGCATATTGAGGTTGACCGTCATTTCATCAAAGAGAAATTGGATAGCGGGTTGATCGCCACTCCATACATTCCTTCTAGGTGTCAATTAGCTGATATTCTGACAAAGGTACTTCCCTCAGATGGATTTCAAGAGCTTACTAACAAGCTGGGAATGATGAATATCTGTTCCTCAGCTTAAGGGGGAGTGTTATAAATAATTGTATTGTAATTATTTATTTTTCATTCTAGAATCTTCTTTAGGCTTAGCCCATTAGGTCATTCAGTCTCTATAAATAGAGAGCTCCTGTTCATTTGTAGTTAACAATTTTCACATAATACAATCCTACTTTTCAAGTTAAATTTATTCTTGCTTCAAGATATATTTCTTCTCCTATTGTGAATATCTCAATGACAACGATTCAATCTCTATATGCTTCTGCTTATTGTAATTATATGTTCTCTTTTCTTGCAATTTTGTTTTACAAATCTTGTTCCTCTTTACAAGCAACAATAGGGTCGCAAGTGAAAAAGACAAATGAGTAGCCTTTGTTAACAGAACACAAGTCATGATCCCACCTACTTTGACCATGTATTGATGATGTTGAGTTTTTTTCTAATGAGACCACATGGGAACAAACCTCAGGCAGGCCGATTGAGTAGCCCGTTATCACCATCCAATGATAATGAGAACAGCTTAGTGCCTTGAGTTTGATGCTAAAACTGTAGGAAATAGGAACTATCATGGTGAGTTGAGTGTAATAATTTTGTAAGCAGTAATTTTAACCATCTATAGATGGGAACATTGTCAACTATTAAATATTTCTGTTAAGTTTAAGTATTATATCAATACATTGTTAATGTTGTATCTGATCCTTTCTGAACTATTATAACTCCCTTTGATATCATTTGGTAGATCAGGATGTGCTGTGTGTTCATCTATCTTTCTTGGTTAGGGTAGACCAACTGTCTTGATGCTTCCTGCAACAAACTGGGCTTGTGGCTTTTCTCCACTAGTCTTGGCATTTCTGCAGGAGGGATTATGGGCAAAATTACAATTTCAAATATAGTGATCTTTTGCATTGACATAATTTTTCTTTTGGTAAGAAAATGCACGCAAGAAAGTTATTGGCACTCAATTTATTATTCACATAAATATGTTCTCCATTCGATCCGCCTTTTTGGTTGCATGTAATTTATCTGAATAAGTTTACGTGGTTTTGGAGATTGTGAACTTCAATGGCTGATAAACTGTAAATATATGCAGACAAGATTGAACAAAGTGAAACTTCTAGAAGCCATGGCAATATTTTTTGAAAGGTGATTATCCCCCATACCTCCAGCCTCATGGATTCCTTATGTAAAATGTTAATGGATCTTCAACCATTCTTGCAGATCTAATAGGTCTGGCGGTGAGGAGCTGCATGCAACTGGAGAAGTTGTTCGGCAATGTGGACTTTGCCATGAATCAGACATGGTGCTAAAGAAAAATCGAGTATGTGTTTTAGGTAGTTGTGGTTCCCTACCAAGGAAATGATAGCATTTGATAAACTTCGGAGATTTTGGCGGTGATTTTTTTTTCTCGTGAGTTATATGTTATTTTGGAATCAAAAAAAGGCTCAATTATGTGCCGTTCATGATGCGTCATGTGGCAGTTAATCAACTACAATGTGAACATGGGAGGAATGTAGTTGTCGAAGTTAGGATTTTGTTAATGAATGATTTTATGGATTGGAGCATGAAACAGAAAAAGAAAAGACAAAGTAGGTTTATCTAGTTGATGTAAGTTTAAGCATTTAATGATATCTCCTTGGATTTTGGGTGTGTATTTTCTCATGTGTTTGAGGGCATACCTAATCATAATCTTGATATTGTCTTCTTGTTTTGTGTAATTTAGAATTTTGTAAGGAATATAGGAAGCACCTATTATCTAATCTAATTTTTTATATTTCATTTACCAGGACGGCAATTTTATGGTTGGATGTTTGGGTTTTCCTCAGGTTGGTTTTCTTGTTTTTTCAGTTGCCTGTTAATTGCTCTGTGTTAGAGTATATATATAAAACCATTAAAGAGGCCCTCATCTATCAGCTTAAGCTTTTGGGTTGAATTGGTTCTTTATATGGTATCAGAGTCTCGTGTTCTGAGTTCGATTCTCGCTGCCCCCCATCTTCTTTGTGGAATTTTCTTAGTACAGGTAAGTGGGCCTGTGCATTGTCCACCTTTCAAGTCTAATAGGCTCTCTTGTGAGGGGACGTGTTAGAGTATAATATAAACCATTAAAGAGGCCATCACCTAACAACTTAAGCTTTTGGGTTGAATTGGTTTTTTACACTTTGTAAATGAAAGTTACAACTTATCTATCCTTTGAGTTGCCAATATGTCATGCTCCTCCCTCCCCAATGGCAGGATGAAATAAGAAATATTATTTGATTAAAAAGAATAAGAACAAGTAAAAAATGAGGGTAAGAATTCCTCTTAGCAATGACGATGAAAATGAGAGAGAGAGAACAAGGACAATAAACAAAGCCAATTTAATGCAGTACTGGTCTCCAATCTGATATGGAGCCTCCCTCAAAGAAGCCATGGGCACTGCATCAAATAGAAGCCCTAAAAACGATCCTATCTTGTAACAGTAGTAAGGATAGCAAAGCATCTGTGGAAATACTAGCATCATACTTCAACAATATGCACCAAAGAACTGTAAAAACAGCATAGTGCCGTAAAGTTTTTCCTTTCTTTCTCCTTCCAAATCTTATAAAACTTTGTTGTGCTTGTATAACACTTGCAGTGTCTTTTGAATTTTATAAGTTGTGGACAATGTTCCCTAGAGAGAAATTAATCATCTGGTACATTTCAGTTAGTCTGCATAACTGTTTACGCTCATTAACTTTGATTAGTTTTTACTTAAGATACATAGTCTTATGACTCCATTACCTGTTCATGGTAATGATAGTATTTTGAATATCATTTCCTTTCCCATACCCTAAAGAACTTAATTTCAGATTTAATATCCCAATCTATATGTCTTGACTCTTGACTCCTTTCAAGATCTAACTAATGCTATGCTAAATTGTTCTCTCATACATATCTCTTTAATGAAGAACCATTTGAACTCCTTTAAGTTTGGGTCCCTTTTATTGGAAGGCTTTAAAGCAAATTCTGTTGTCTTTGTGGCCTCGGCTCTTGTATATAAATTCGCAAATTCTTTTTGAAGTAGTCATCACTCAAGAGCAACTAGTTGAGCACTCATTCAGATAGATAACTAATTTTGAATGTTCTGTGTAGTTTATCCCTTGTTGTACCCTCTCTTTCTCTAGGCCTAAACTGACTGGCACTAAAATAAGTTTGACCTCTGTGGATGAACAGTGTAGGAATGTTGTCTGGCTCCCTGGATCCGTAGCAGAAGCGGCTGTGACCACCAATACTTGCAACTTTTGTACTCCTGGTTTGTGACTCAACAGTTAGTATTAAATGCATCAGTAGCTTCTTACTGAAAAAAAGAAAGAAAGATACATCATTGGCTTTCATGCCAATGCGTGATTTTGGGTTTTTTTCCCACTTTATTTTTAATGAAAAAAAAAGGCCTTGGATTTTAAGACTGTGAGCACTTAAAGCGACACAATTTTATTGTCTAGAACTAGAATTTGCTCATTCACCCCTCCTAAATTTTATAGATATTTACTGTTTGATGTCACTATGGTATTTCTGATAGGTTATTCATATTCCTTTTCAATCTTTTATTCATCATGAGAAATATTGAAATTTATTTGTGTTGGAATTAGGGATTTAGGTATAGAAAGAGGAAGGATAGACTGAATAAATATTGACTATTATGTGTTACGATGTGATATAAAAGACAAAGTAATAAGACCTATTGATGATACTAAGTAGGGGAATCCTAAAATTAGGAAGCAAATCTTAAAATATAAGGAAATAGGGAAACTATTCCAAGAGATTATTTAGGATACTCTAAACTATTTTAAAATATAATCAAAGATATTATATGATATTTTCAAATACTCTGACAATTTGTTTAAGCTCGAATTTTAGTAATGTTCTTATTCTCTTGAGTTGTTTCCATATTTTTGTTCATGATTGTGTTTCGATTAGGGTACAACACTTGTTTATTTGTTTTTGGAAGTTGGTGAAGTAATACAGTAGTGGAGTGTATAGCATGTTGACTTCAGAATATTAGTTGGCTTTCTGTTATCGTTTGTATTCAGTCATCATTGTACAGCTGGCTTCTAACAGATTACCTAGGGTATGTTATATTGTGTATTTAACTGTAGTTAGTTAGATCTAGAAGCTTCCTATTTAAGCTTCCTTTTGTATCATCTATATATATCTGTTCTCTGTCAGAATAGTGCTTGATCAAGAATAGGTTTCTTTCTCAGAATGTCTCTCTCTCTCTGAATTGGAAATGTGTATTATTATGTAAATGTCTAGGTTTATTGTATCATGTAAAGTCGGTAATTAGGATACTTGTATCTTGTTTTATTACATTTATTATATAAATATCGAGTCTGTGGTGTAGTTTAAATACATTGTTTTCAGCACATGCTTTTCTTTCTTCTCTCTCTGAACAGTATTCTTTAATTTATCTGTTTTAGTGATCTTGGTTCTGTGTCTTGTTTTAGATATTATTTTAATCTCATTTTGTATAAAATATTATAGGTCCTGTTTACCTTATTCAATTCAAATTTCGGCAGCTGGAAATACCACCAAACTATAGCGTAAACCATTTGGGTAGGTGCACCTCCTTTTTATGATGAATTTTCTTGATATTTTTACTTTTGCAAGACTCCTTTCCCAACTCTTTAAAGACATGCATGGAGCATTGCATTCTTTAAAATCTAATCTGGTAAAAAAATTCTTGTAAGTCTGCTTGATCAGCAAGATCAATTTATTTTAAGCTAATTTCACCTTTTAATATCTGCCAAACAAACAAACGGAAACAAAAAAAATATATGAAAAAGGATTTTTTTAATGTTGGTTCTTTAACATGTTAGTTCATTCATGAACATATGATGACTACTCAAACCCTTTTTTGTTGAAACACTTATGGTGTATAAATACATGTGTTCTGATAGGTTGCATTGGTGGCTGTGATGAGATTCTTACCCAGTTGACAGAAATATGTGGCACTGGCACTCGCATGCCAGGTTTGTTTGAATGGCTAAGTAGTTATTGGAAACACTTTTAAAAGTATAGTTAGATGGTACCTATTGTTTCATATGAATTACTGGTTCTATGCAGACTGCAGTTAAGTTGAACATTTTTTGTAAGCATTTAATGCAAAAATATACTCGTATGAGATAACCTATGTGTATATGACGGATTCCGTAATTTGATTAATGACATTCAACTATTCAAGCATGTTTAGGAGATATTAACATTTATTTTATGCATTTTTTTTTTACTGTCTTTAAAAAAGGATTTATCCTTGTTCTTTTTCCTTTCTTTTGATATTCAACATAAAATATATTTTAGAAAATTTTATGTTCAAAAGTCATTGACAGAACAGGAAACCTTCTTTAACCTGTTTGCTGCCAATCCCATTGTTTTCATGAACAAATATTGGAATTCTGTGATTATACCTTACCATGTTTTCCAGCAAGAGCTCGAGGATCAACTGCACCAACCAGCAATGCCCACCATACCAACCCAAGGCAAGGAGTTTGTATGAACTGTCAAGAAACAGGACATTCTTCTAATGATTGTCCTTCACTGACTTCACAGTCCAGGAATGCCCGACATCGTGGAATGAGTCAACATAGTGGTAAGGTCTTTGGAATTTTTAAAATTCCGTACCAGTTTAGATAGTCTAGAGAAATAAAAAATGTATTTCTTGGATTTTGTAGTTTTGCCATAGGGATATGAGCAAGCAGTGATAGTCAATCGTGGAGATGCTGATTTTGTAGTGTGTGATAGCAAATATTGATTTTGGATTCTGTGGATGGATTAGAGAGTTGTAGTAAAGTGGTCTGTATTAATTCTCTGGGCTTGGGCTGACATGTGATATAACTCGAAAGCTCTTCCCTGCGATATACAATGCGTAGTTATACAATGAGCATTAGGTTGTATTGGGTTTTGGATTTTCATGCTGAGCAGCTAATCATGATAATTGTTAAAAATATAAATATAAAATATAAAACTATTCATCTACCTTCATCTAATAGCTTAAGCTTTTGAGAGAATTGGTTGTATGATATGGTATCGAAATCTTTGTGACCAATTGGTGAAGAGTTCGATCCTTGCTGCCCTCATTCTTCTACTAAATATTTAATTGTGAAGTTTCTTAGCAGACAAAGAACCCAGTAGTTTTGAAGCTAATGAGCTCTTGTACGAAGGGGCATGTTAGAAATTTAATATAAAATATAAAACCATTCATCTTTCTTCACCTAATAGCTTAAGCATTTAGAAGAGTTAGTTGCATGGCAGTAATCTTCATTTATCACAGTGAATTTTCTATTTTTTCCGTGGATGTTGGCCTATTGTTTGTTGTAGCCAGTAGTAGGTCAAACCATGTTAAGTGCAGAGAGTGGAGACACAATTGCTTTCTAACAAATCTAGGTTTGGGAAACTATATTAATCTTTGATTCAGCAATGTTTTTTTTTGGTCTTTTCCATTTGTCAGTCTCCTTATTCCCCTTTTTGTATTTTAGACATTTGGTAGAACCAGTACTACTTATCTCATATTTTTTCCTTGTTAGACAACAGAAACCCCTCATCACTAGAGCCTATTCTAGGAGGAATCACAAGGGATCAAAGCCCCTCAGTTGCCTGGCATAAACCATTCAGAAGAAGAAAAGTTTGGGGAAGGATAGTTATGAGATAACTGCCGTAGTGGGTAAAAAAACAAATGTAGAAGTTATTGCAAGGTTGTAACTATTGTAATGTAACTGCCGTAGAAGTTATCGTAGGAATTGAGAGAAGTTATTGTAGGAATGTAACTGCTATAATGTAACTGCTGCAGAAGTTGTTGTGGGAATTATGAAACTAAATAAAGAAGGCTGAAATACATAGGAAAAGGAGGAAGGAAGTTAGGAGAATAAGAGGAGAGACATGCCTCCCTAATGCATGTGTATGAATTTTGAAATCAAGTACTGATGTATTATTTTCTCCTAGTTGGTTTAACCAGAGAGTTTAATGTTGTATAAGTGTGTTCTTGCTCCATAATTGTGTTGAGTTAGAGGTTCCTAATTTCCTATCATTCCTTTTCGTCACTTCTTTCTCCAGATTTCTTACTTCATATTTTGTTTTTAACATACATTGTCTTCTTGGTCTAGCTTTGGAGCAACGGTAAGATTGCTACTTTGTGAATGCAGGGTCACGGGTTCAAATCTAGGAAATAGCCTTTTTGAAAAAATGCAGGAGTAAGAATGCATTTGGTTATCTCCCTTATCTACCCAAAGATGGGGAGCTTTTGTGCATCTGTGTTTTCCCTTTAATTACCTTACGGGGTTTCGGTGATCAAGCCTTGCATGCCCTAGAAAGAAATCTGTCCAAACCTAGCCAACCCATGTTATAGATGATAATTGATGTGCTATGAATATAATAATGTTGCACAAAATGTTAATTTATTGATTCACTTATTTCTATATGTCATTGCTACTCTAGCTCACATTATGATTTTTGTTCGTATGTATATTTTTTGTTAGCATGTTAAAAGTGAGAACTGACATATTCTGGAAAAAAAGGAAGCTTCTTAACTTGTGTCATCATCTTAGAAATTCTTGCTCTTCATGGATTTTGTGGTTGTCATTTGTAGCTGCTGTCAAAATTGAAATTTAAAGCAATGCATCTTATAAACCTTTCAACTGATGCAGGAGAAGCTTCTGTTTCATGCAGTTCATGCGGAACACCATGTGTTTTGCGAACTGCAAATACAGCAACTAACAGAGGAAGGAAGTTCTACTCATGTCAATCACAGGAGTGCAACTTCTTTGTGTACGGGAACTTGTGTTCTTCTTTAGTGTATTTGATTATAAATAAGCTTTTTGTGATATAATTATATGTTAGGAGTGCCAGAAATAAGAAGAATTTCAATAATGAGTTCTCTTGACTTTGTTTTTTAGTGTGTGCAAAGTTCTTTATTTGGGGAGTTTTTCTTGTTTTCAAGGAGGGCGGGGGACTGGCATGGGATTATCTATGCCAAAATTGTTGTTTGTAGTTAACTATCATATCGTTGACACTTAATAATGTCTAGACAACAGAATTAGACAACAGAATGATTAACCTGCCATCCTCTTTTCCCTTGGTTGCTTTTCAACCGCAAATAGTACAAGTTGACATTTATAAATTTGGATTTAATTATGACCTCCATTATGTAATTTGACAATCTAATTTTTGAAGAGGCACCAACTCTGTTTTCAGTCATGTAATGGATGATGTCTCAAGCAGTTTGGAGAAACAAAACATATGGCATTGTTTTGAGATAGTTATTTGTTTATGTAAGTCTTATCTCCTCTGGTACAGATGGGAGGATAGCCTCAATGATGGCACTGGAGGTAGAAGTTTTACACGTTCAAATAGTATTCCAGCATCCAACCCTAGCCGAAATGGTGGTCGTGGATCTCGTGGTAGAGGTAGACGGAATGGACCTCAAGCTGCTAACACGACTTTTGTGTCAGCCACTGGTGATCCTATTTCTGGTAGAAGGTGCTTTGTCTGTGGTGATCCATCTCACTTTGCTAATGTCTGCCCCAATCGTGGAGTCTGATGTCTCAATGATTCATATCAGCCGTTTAGAAGGAAAACTAGGTTTGGCATCCATAACCTCTCTTTCTGTTTTGTATGTGTTAAATTAAGGGTAAGGTAGTTATGTCAAATATTTTAGCATGCATTAATTACGATAACTAGTACTGTTTCTAATATGCCAGTGTTAACTGTCAAATTTCTTTCCTTATTCATTCATCGTTTATCTTTGGCATAAAAGAGCTCATAGCATTTGCTTGTCAAAACCAAAATTCATTGAAGAATCATTTTCAACTGGATCTTCTTTGGGTTGGGAGAAAATATAATTCCTGAATTCCATGACTTATGGAATACATGTATGCCCTTGAAACTTTTGCAGACTGGGTGCTGTTCGATTCCTGTCAATTATCTTTCCTTGGGAGGTCATATATAAATATCAGTGTAAGCCGTTGTTGATTACGGTTGAAAAAGGGTAGTCTCTTTTCGATGAGAAAAGTTTGAATTGTATGCTTGCTATTTATTTATTTAGGCTGGGGTGAGAACTGCAGATGCATTACAATGACATTAATTATAAAGATATTTTTGTTCTATTTGCATCAATTGGTATGTTTTTTGTAATTTAGATCCAACCATTTTCAAATTCAGAAAATTTAGTCACGCCCGTCTGTTTGTCGAACACATGGTGGGTAGGCTGTCACGAAACCGTCCATTTGCTAAATCTGCAGGAGCATGTCCGAAGACGAGCTCATAACAATTGTTTGACTGCAGGTAAGGAGGGAAGAATTAATTTCGAAGCCCTACATCATGTCTCAATTTTCTGTTGGATTAATCTAAAAGCATGCAAGTGGAATGGAAATTGAATCTGTGTCGTTAGACTATTTTTGTAACACTTTATGGTGAGATCAAAGCCATATAATTTTTCTGTATTTAAGAATTTTTAAGTTATTCTTGTTGACGGATCTAATCAATTATTGCATATCTAATTAACTTTTTAAACAAAATTCAGACACAGATCTCATTTTTTTGGGCCACAAAAAACCATGTTACTGATTTTTCGCTTAACAAGCTAGCACTGATTCAAATGTTCATGATATCATTTTCTTTTTATTCCTCCTTTTAGCCTTATATTTTTCCCTCACGTTATTTCGTCGTATAATCCCACGTGGTTCTGTTTTTGACTTTTTGCTGCGGGGTTCGAGACTTTAATATTGGTTGAGTGATGGAGGGGTTTGCAAGGGAATGTTAATTCCCCCCTCCCCTCCCTCTAAATTAGGAGTTATAAAATAGGGGTTCGTATTTATCATTTAATATGACACAAGAAAGTTTTCTACACAATATTTTGTGGGGTTCACTTTTTGAAGCAAAAAAAAATTATGGCACGCAAAACGAATTTCTATAACATTACACAATCATTTTTTCTACAATATAATTCTTATAAAATTTTATAAAATATTTATACAACTGAGTAGGAAGTATTTGGAAGGTGATATGATAAAATTTTATTTTATTTCTATCATTTTAAATAGCTCTCTAAAAATCCCCCCCCCCCCCCCCCCCCCCCCCCCCCCGCTATATAGGAATTTGGAGTTAAAAGAAAAAAAGAGGTTTAGTCTTTTATTTTAAATTTAAAGAATAAAATATATATAAAAATAAATAAAGAATGATTAGGAGGTTACCAAATAATCTTTTGTTTTATTCTCATTGAAAATTTGAAACTAAATAAAACTTTGTAAAGCCACTTGCATCGTCGACGCTGATGACCAGTTTATAACTTTTACAATAATGCAATTTGTATTTAAATATAAAGATGCTGGATGTTTCTTGCGCAATAATGACAATCGACAGTTCAATATTTTGGGCCTCAGAGTACAAAGTTTGTTTTCTGAAAGGACTAAATTTTCATTTAAAAAAAAAAAAAAACTCTTTATGAATGACAACAACTACGAGCATTTTGCCTAGGTACTGGATGATTGACTGTTTATGAAATTAACAGCATATTATTCAAGTCTGCTTATGCAGACAATTATCTTTTGGCAACCCAAAGGGTCGAACATATAATTATTCTTGAAAGGAGGGAACCGGGAGGTGAAGATTAAATTAGCATATTCTATAGCCTGAAAAGTAATGTCCTTTGGCTTCATGGAGTGCAATTTCGACCATATTGCAAAAGGGTAGTGGGTAGTATCATTTTGTACTAGAAAGAGAAGGAAAAAAAAAAGTCTTTCCCATATGTTCTTTTTGATGCATTTTTAAATTTTCTTTCCCTTTTGTATTATCTGCAATTAAAGGTTCTTGTGCTTTTTATTTTTATTTTAAACTTGACTTCGACAGGGGTGCGTAAAAGTTCAAGATAGGGAGAAGGCATGAAAAGAAAACCACCACTACCCACGTTATATACAGATGTAAAAGGTTTAGCCTGTCTCACAGAGGACAAAACTTATTAGCCTACATGTGCGCACTTCTAACACGTGAAATAAATTAATGCAAAGTTCATCTCATTTTTTTTTTAGGGAAAAATGTTTCGGTAGTAAATGCAGATAAGTTATCTGCATTTATTCTTAAAACGATACCGTTTTGGTATTGAAATCTTAAAAAATTATAAAGATAAAGACTATTATAACCTTGAAATAAAATAAAATTACAAAAACACCATGATTTCTGCTCCAAAATGATGTCGTATTGGGCTTACTGCAGATAACTTATCTGCAGAAAAAGCGAAACCTTATTTTTACTAAAAAAATAGAGTTTAATATTTCTCGTGTTATAGGATATTGTATGAGATAAAATTATCTTCTACAATATAAGACATTAAAACCATTGTTCAGTTCAATTATGATGAACCGTTGATCTATACCATAAAAGTATGCACTCAGAGATATCTATGAGATAGATATCTTATTGGCGTAAAGCTAATGTACCAATCACTGTGCACTAGCAATAGGCGTGTAGCCAAGACGTAGGTGTGTGCACAGTATTGACAGTAATAGTAAATAGGTCAAAAGTGTGTACATATGGGGTCTTTAACCTCTTATTTATAGGATTTACCTTTTTGAATTTGGGCTTTAGATCTTCCTTGATTAATATGGTAACTGCCTTATTTGTTGGGGATAAGGATCTTATTCCTTAATCCTCCTTGGATTATGTTGTTGTGAAAAGATTGAGACAGATTCTGATCTCCTATCGGATATGTGGTTGAGATATGGATCCAATCCATAATAGTTGCCCCTGAGCTCGGCAGTTCGGAAGCTCGGACTGTCGGGGTGTAGAAGTTTAACTAATACGTCGGTTATGCCGAGGTATTATCTTGAGTCCACATTTAGATTCTGAGGCAATTTCATCTTTCCATCTCAGCCTTATATTTGGCTTGGATGGACGATCGCTTGTCTTTGTTTCTCCTCTTATTCGGGATATATTCGTGCTTTAAGCCATTTGAGGTATAAGTTTGGCCTAGGCAAGGTTTTGAGGTGTGTGTCGAGGCGATCTTATTTGTGATATTGAGTGACTATGGCCGTCGCTGGGTCGACTTTGTCTTAGACGTTGGTTTTAATTTGTAGCTTTGTTGCAAACGTTCTTTTCATGGCCATCCTCACAAAGGCACATAGGTCAACTTAATACGGAGGTCTGAGCCTGTTATCTCGACATAACTCTCCACCTTTGCCAGGTACTTGACAGTTACACTTTCCCCATGCGCCGCTTATTGATTGGTAGTTCATGCATTGTGGAGCGTGAGCTGCCCTAGCTTTTTGCAGGTCATGATGGCATGCTTTTAATGTGTGCCTTGCGAGATTACCTTTATACCATTGACCCTTCAGCTCTGCTATGGCCTTTCATTTTCTCGCCCAACGGTTACACTTGTATATATTTTTATCTTTGCATCCATAAGTCAGATTTCATTCATTTCTAATTTTCTGGGCAACTTGAATTCTATTGGCTCTCTCCTCTTGCTTGAAGACTCGTCTATCTTTTGTGTGTTCGTCCTGCTGATGTTCATTGGCAAGTATACCAATCGCACAAGTAATATAATAATGAGTAAAGTTCGTCTCCACAGGGATTGTTATCAATACCAATTAATTTATCCTTTTAAGCAATAAGGAATCAGATTTTTTGTAACGAGTACCGAGAATTTTTTTGAATATTAACTGAAAATTAATTTAAATATTTTTGGTTCTTTTGTTTTGGAAATAAGAAATTAAAATGTGATTGTAAATTATGAGAAAGCATTGTAGTTAGAGAACACATGCCACATGATCCCCACCTTCTACTATGGATTGATTTAAACAACTCATATAAATAATTATAAAAATATACTCAAATAAATTATTTCTCTGAACAGTTATAGTTAAACCCCAATGTCTTGGTAATCTAACCCTTTAACCCACTCAGAATTCTAATGTCTTAGTAATCCTTTTATGAATTAAGCATGACGATGTAATTTAAGCATCTATGATATATGAATACCTATGTCTAGGACATGCATATAAAATCGCTTTATCCCCTTTCAGAATCAAAAACCCTAATGCCAGCCAATGCTTTTTGGACAGGAGATCCTTCATGAATTTAGCATAATTTGGCATGCCAGCCAATGCTTCTGCAAACGGAATGTTGATATGCAGCTTCTTGAAGATATCAAGGAACCTGTCATAGTGCTTCTTTTTCAACTCTGGCTTAAATCTGCCAGGATAAGGGGCCATCTTTTCAAGATACTCCGGGCTCAATTCAAACTTTTTCTTTTCTACCATTACCGGTTGCTCTTTTTCTTTGCCAGCCTCATCAAGGGGTTTCACTACTTCAGGAGAATTATCAGTGTCTTTCTCAGAGTTATCAACCTCTTCATTTTTCTCCTCAGCAACCACTTCAACTATCGGCTTTTCTGGTGGTGATAACACTTTACCACTCCTGATGGTTATTGCCATACACCCCTCCTTTGGATTGGTAACAGTATTGCCAGGAAATGTGCCTGGTGCTCTGTCAGACAATTGTTGAGCCAGCTGCCCAATCTGATTTTCCAGGTTCTTTATGGAAGCTTTAGTGTTCCTGGCATCAGCTCTACTTTCCTCAATGAAAGCATTGGTAGTTCTTTGATTGGCTCTACTCTCCTCCATAAAAGCATTTGTATTTTGCGCCAAAGAACCAACTAACCTTTCCAAATCTGAAGGCTCCTTTTGTGGAAGAGGAGGTGGCTTCAAATAGTTGTCAGACTTCATATCCAATCCCGTGCCTTGATAATTCCGCCTCTGATAGTTGTTACCGCCAGCAGAATAGCTTTGATTTCTTTGAACATTTTGCTGATTAGGACGCTGGTCATACCAAACACCATTTACTTGCAGTTGTTGGGAAGAATCTGAAGACATCAGTGTTGGACAAGCATTAGAATCATGATTCTCATGGCAGAATTCACATTCAACACCAACAGCACTGGCCTGAACTTTTGACAACTGCAGCCTCTCAAATTTAGCATTCAAATTAGACATTTGTTGAGATAGTAATTTCTGCTCAGCCAAAACAGCATCCTGATCATTCAATGGCACCACTCCTCTTTTACCCATCCTTGTACTTGTTTCATTCTCATTCTTTGCCAATTTATCAATCAACTGGTAAGACTCAGAAGCTAATTTATCTCCCAAAGAACCTCCTGCAGCAGTATTCACCACCAATTTAGTTTCAGGCAGACACCCATTAAAGAAAATTCTCACCTGATCGCCTTGAGATAGGTTATAATGAGGAACCTTTCTCATGAGCGCCTTAAATCTATTCCATGCAGCACATATTGTCTCTCCCAGATGTTGCTTGAACGATGTAATGTCATTCACCATGTTATTATACTTCTCCATGGGAAAGAACTCTGCAAAGAATTTTTCAGACAGATTATCCCAAGTAATGATACTTTCGGCAGGTTGTCTCTCCATCCAATCTAGAGCTTTTCCCGTAACAGCAAAGGGAAAAAGTCTCAATCGAATGGCATCATCTGTAAACTGTGGAGGCTTGGTAGAATCACAGATTCACAGGAATCTGTCAACAAATCTGTGAGGATCTTCATCATCCTCTCCTCCATACTTCTCTCTTTCTGCCAACTGAATGATGTTGGACTTCAGCTCCCATTGATTGTTCCCAAGGTCAGGTGGAACAATGCCAGCATTGGGCCTGTTGAACACAGGCGTGAGAATGGTGTTCATGCGTGGGTCTGCATTGTTGTTAGGAGCAGCCATCTCTTGTATCACAAATGGCACCACTGTACTATCAATGGATGCAGCAGCAGTAGCCTGTGCTCTTTCTCTATCCCTCTGAGCTATTCGTGCACTTTTCCTTAGAAAAACGCTGCCTTGCATACAACTCAGCAAAAAGGATTAGTAGCACAGCAACAAAAATTAAAATAATAAAAAAATAATAAAAATATTCACAATCTTAAAATTCAAAATTAATTAATATTAAAATATCAATCCCCGGCAACGGCGCCAAAAACTTGATGTTCATTGGCAAGTATACCAATCGCACAAGTAATATAATAATGAGTAAAGTTCGTCTCCACAGGGATTGTTATCAATACCAATTAATTTATCCTTTTAAGCAATAAGGAATCAGATTTTTTGTAACGAGTACCGAGAATTTTGCTGAATATTAACTGAAAATTAATTTAAATATTTTTGGTTCTTTTGTTTTGGAAATAAGAAATTAAAATGTGATTGTAAATTATGAGAAAGCATTGCAGTTAGAGAACACATGCCACATGATCCCCACCTTCTACTATGGATTGATTTAAACAACTCATATAAATAATTATAAAAATATACTCAAATAAATTATTGCTCTGAACAGTTATAGTTAAACCCCGATGTCTTGGTAATCTAACCCTTTAACCCACTCAGAATTCTAATGTCTTAGTAATCCTTTTATGAATTAAGCATGACGATGTAATTTAAGCATCTGTGATATATGAATACCTATGTCTAGGACATGCATATAAAATCGCTTTATCCCCTTTCAGAATCAAAAACCCCAATATGTCTACCGCGAGTTCCTGTTCTCAAATTTATCCTCTACCATCAGATTGATCAATTCTAATAAAGACAATAACAATTCGCTCAAGATAAAGACAAAATATATAGGTATAATTAAATATACGAGTAAAAGAATTCAATCCATTGTATTAGGGGTTCACATAGGGCTGTGACCCTAACCGCAATAAAAGAGACTAGCCAACCATAATCATGTTGGCCATTACAAAATGATGAAAATCAATTGTTCTTACGAAATTTCTAAGAGAAGAGATGAAGTTTCCTTCCGAGAATCGCACGCGCTTCGCTCCTTGAGTTCTGACGACCGATTGCCTAAACCCTCAGCCTTTTTTTTTTTTATATTTCGCGTGACTTTCCACTGTCCTCCAAAGTGCCACGGGCGACTTCAAATTCGCACACCCGCGCGGGCTTGCGCCGGTTGGAGCGTCACCGCGCGGCATCTCTGGTTTCGAGCGGAGATGAGCTGCATTCAGCGCGATTCAGCGCCGCTTGGCGCGGTCCCGCACCGGATCTCGGGTTCTAAGCCCAGGATTCGTAGCTTATTCTTTTATTTCTCTTTCTTTCTTCAAAGTCTTTTTGTTTTTCTTCTTTTTCCTATAAAAAACATGTAAATAATGTGAGAAGAGAAATCTGAGATAATAGAAAGCAAAACATCAGATAAATCTCTACTTCATGGCTAAAATCCTAATGTTTTTGGGCTTGGAAACCACACACGCCAGAGACATATCAATTTATTCCCAGATTTAAATGTTGCTGTCCCCAGCAATAGAAAAATCAATCACATCAATAAGATCAACAATATTCCAGCACAATATCACACAAACAGTCAAAGAGATAACTATGCTATGCATGACTGAATCACAGCAAGAACTCCTAACAATGCCTTTAACTCATAAAACATGTCAGAGTCAAACTTAAATACCCCTCACCAACATAATCATATAACACTCACACTCAAGTGTTTAGGGGAATTATAATCACTCAGTCCACCACAGCAATAACACATCTATAGATTTGGTCATATTCTTAAGCTCCTAAAAACAAGGAACATTAACACATGCACAAAAAAATCAAAAGGACTTCATATGGTTATAACTTGGCCTGGCTCAGGGGTAGGAATGTATGGATAGTGGCTAACATTGCAAGTTGAGATTGAACACTGATATTTATTTACAAACAAGTCAACTCTCACTTACATGTAAGCTCCACTGTTCTTTCAACTCAGAGTTCATTCCTTTTTTATTGCCATTTTTCTTTCCAACTTTACTAATTTTCTTTTTCTTCCCTTTTCAGCTACTTAGCTTCAATGGAACTTACCTCAGTTGCTTATTCTTTTTTTTTTCTTTTTTTCTTTTTTTCTTTTTTTCAACACCTTTCAATCTCAACCATGGTAAGACAATATGGAACATGCTAAGCAATGAGCAGGAATTATGAACAAACAGGTTCAGGCTCAACTGGGCTAAACAAGGGAAAACATCAAGGTAGGCTATCTGGCCATGGCTAACAAGAACAAAATTTGCCTTTATCATTTCAATTCATGCATGCATCACAGAGAAACAAAACAAATCCTAGACTGCTACAACTGTGAGGTCTCTCCAGAATAAAATACAGTGTTTGGCTCAAAACCTCACCAGTTATGGCATCCAGTTGGACTCTCGAAGAGCATCAGGCATCATTAATTATTCTAGCACACAATTCAGACAAACACGCATTTATGAAATCTACTCATGCCTATGCAACATCATGCTAGAAATTCACAAATAACATACTTCCTATGATGAAATCAACCAACACTAGGGAAGCACATCTAAACCTGGGACTATCAAAACAAAGAAAACATTTCCAAGCTTTTTATATAAATTTTTTAATTTTTTTAATTTTTTAATTTTTTTTTTAAGACAAAACTAACAACTACTAAAAAAAAAACTGATAATGGTTAAAATATCTCCCCTGATATACAATGCAATTCCACTCTGCAGATGTAGTGCGTGAGCCATGACTTCCATTCCCAGATTTTGAAAATTGCTGTCCCCAGCAATAACGGCAATCCAAGATGTAAAAAAACAAAAAAAAATATCTCCATCAGCAAGGAGAATCACTCATCATCATCCTCGTCGTCGTCGTCCTCTATGACAAATCTCCTAGCAGCATAGGAAGAGGACTCAGCAGCAGGGCGTGGGGGTCCCGAATAGTCAAATGGGCGTGGTGGTACCGGAGCATCTCCAGGTGGCGGGGCTGCAGCATACGGCTGGAACACATATGGTGGAGGCACCTCAAGGTATACTGGCTGGAATGTAGCGAATGGGATGCTCGGGTGGGCGTGCTCCAAGAACCGGTGAGTGTACTCACCCTGCATGATCAGAACCTCATTCTGCACGGCTAAGCGCGAGAGCTGCTGTTGTAAGCCATAAAAATCGAATCCAGCAGGATATCCACGTGGAGCAACAGATGCAGCAAAGCCAGCAGTAGCAAGGGCCTCAGGCAGAGGTGCTGGTGGTGGTATCGGCATGCGGGGGTCTCTAGGAGAAGGTATTCTGCCTCCAGCCTCAGCAGCTCGTTTATTGAATTCCACATCAGATTTAGCCCGAGCTTCTACATATGTATCCCAGCTCATCCAAGGAGCAGGCTGGATATCTAATACGCCATCATCATCCTGTAGCACATCAAAAGGGATATCCACTCCAGCCCTCCTGCTCAATTTATTGATAAGAGATGCAAAACCCAACATCTCCCTCTTCCTACTGCCTCGCACCATGTAACAAATGCGATCAGAGATGACAGAGGCTATATTAACCCGCTCTGTCCCAGTGAGAGTATAAAGTAGGGCTGCCCGCTCAACATTGACATCCGTGAGGTTGGTAGAGGGCAGGACATTGGAATTGATAAAAGTGTGCCAAAATCGGCACTCAGCATTCAAGTCTTTTAAGATCAACTTATCTGGAATTCCATGTGCTTTCGGTAACCACTTAGTGTAAGGGCAAGTGATACCAAGTCTGATCATTTCCGCCAGCTGCGGAACTTCATCCCGATATAAGCCATGTGGACTGGGCTGCATCCTATTGTATAGAGTAGTGTATTCGCAGGATGCTCCATCGGGATGGTGAGTCAACAGAAAAGACTCAATGGTGGCGATGTCGAAGGGAACCTCAATTCCCCGCACATAAGAAACCCTGTTCAGGTGCAAATCTGTCAACTCTGCATTTGCACAGAACTCTTTCACAATCTCGCCACAAGCAGGCATAGCATAAGATGTCAATTCTTCCCAACCTCTTCTAGTAATGGTCTGCTTGATAACAGAGGTTTCGGGAAAGGTAGTGGCTATTATACTTCGCTCTGGCACAAATTTCTTTCCTTCATAGAGGTCATAATACCTCTCATGTGCCTCAATGCTAACAAATCGGTTAGCATCTAACTGACGTGGGCCCTTTCTCTTTTTACTTGTATTCCCAGTTTTAGTTTTTGAGACCTTTGGTGCCATGGAAGATGATAAACCGGAAAAGAAAGAGCCACAACACCAGAAAACAAAACAAAATAAAAATTAAGGGGTGGTGGGGAGGAAGGAATCAGTGCAGGGGCGAAGAAGTGGGAAGAGGGAGAAGTGAAACGGAGAGGAAGAATGAAGGGGATGGGGAAAAGGGGTGGGGACGTGGGGGAGGGAAATGGGGGGGAGAAGAAGGAAAAAGGGGGGGTGAGGTTAGGTTAATCGCTGCCAAAACACAGCGGTCAACTTAACCCACACCCACGCGGCCCAGCTCCACTTGGCGTGGGTTCGCGCCATTTCTCTGGTGCGTAAGCTGGAGCTTTTTAACCTTTCGGCGCGGGATAGCGCCAGTTGGCGCGGAATCGCGCCGATTCTCTGGATTGCGGCCCAGCAATTTTCGAACTTAAAATTT